TGTGGAAAAGAGATTATAGCATGACCACATCTCATTAGGGAGTGCTTTCTCTTTCTCTCTCTGGCCAGCATACACATCTCTGGCAAAAAAAAAAAAAAATAGTGAAGAAATTACAACTTAAGTTTTGATTTTGCTAAAATGTTTACCCAATAAAGTTTTTATTTACTCATAATAAAAGGAAAGTGATTTTGTACTATTTTGCATCCCCGCCAGCAGTGAATGAAAGTTCCCGTTACTCCACAACCTCACCAGCATTTGGTGTTGTCAGTACTTTGGATTTTAGCCATTCTGATAACTGCTTAGTGGTATTTCATTGTTGCTTTAATTTGCAGTCCTCTAAAGACATGATAATTGAACATCTTCTCATCTGCTCATTTACTCTAATTTACCTTTTTTTGGTTAGATATCACTTCAGATATTTTGCCCATTTTTTAAATGAACTTTTCTTCTTGTTGAATTTTAGGAATTCTTTGTATATTTTAGGTACCAGTCCTTTATCAGGCATGTGTTTTGCAAATATTTCCTCCAGGTCTGTGGCTTACTTTTTCATCTCTTTAAGTTCTTTTTTGACACCCTTCTAACACCCAGCAATTAGATGAGTCGGTCTTGGAATTTTTTAAATTACAGGAAGAAAAAATTGAAACAAGAATGAAACATGTTTAAATTGCTTGGGGATGTTTAAGCCTTCCCAATTGTTGGGTAATAATATCTCCATTTACTCACTCAGAAACAGAAATGCAAGTAGCCAATGGAAATTTCAGGAAGTGAGCAGGCTGCCATGGGTTTGTTGCTTTAGGAAAGTTAGATCAGTTCTTCTAGGTGGTAGCATAGTGAATGGTGAATGTGAATTGTGTGTGTGTATGTGTGTGTGTGTGTGTGTGTGTGTGTGTGTGTGAATTATTAATGCCTTTGAGTCAGAGATGACAACTCACAGGAAACTACAACACTAAAAACTCTTAGTCTTCTTTGATTAGGTAAATTATCCAAGAGTTTAAAATACCTCTGTCAATGTTTTTTAGTTTACTCAATTCTTGACTCTAATTGCTGTGTTTAATTGCACCTGGTGACCGTAAGGTACCTAGATTTGATCACTTAAGTAACAGTACGTCTTAGAGAACCATAATAGTTGACTTAATTTTTCTAAAAATTCCAGTCTAATTGCTTAGCTTTAGTCATTAAGTGTTATTTCCTATAGGTAAACAGAGATGTCACCAAGTAAAAAAGTTGAATAATATGCTAGGGGAAAAAAATTAATTAGAAGAATCAAGAATTTTTAGGCGTCAACCAGTGGCACACCAGTAATGCAACACTGCAGTACTGGACCCACATAGATAGTACTGGGTTTGTGTCCTGAAGCATCCCCATGCATACTGAATGTGGGATCTTCCTGTGCCCATGATCAAGGATGGATGAGGCTGGGAGTAGATTGTAGCATGAAGACCCTAAAGGGGTTCCTGTCTTTCTCTGTCTTTGTCGCTTTCTCTTTCTTGTGAAATAAATAACTAATTACACTTCAAAAACAAGTTAGTTTTCCAGGACTGGAAAATGGGTTTCATGTCATTTCTCAGCTCGATACATTGGCAGCATCTTTCTCATCATGACATGCCAAAATGTGCCCCATCTGGGCTCAATGGGAGAGAGTGCTTTAATCCATTATTAGTGTGCCATTAGCAAAGATAGGTCCTGTCATAGCTTGTAGTCTGTAATCACCTTGCTTCATAGAGTCTTATACCCTTGCTCAAGGTTGAGAAAATGGCCCACATAAACTTAAAAGACTTTTTTCCAAAGTCACCCAGCTAGCTGGTGGATGTGCTGATATTTAGCAGATAGGAATTGTGTTGTTTCTATTCCATATAACCATCTACAATAGAGTCTAGACAGCTGGACTCAATTTTGAGGGAGAGAAAAAAATAACTCGTTATTAGACCACTGTGTAACTGTCTTAGAAACTGGTGTTTGGGGCCAGATGGTGGCTCAGTGATAACATGGAACTGTCGTGGACTCCTGTCCTGGCCCTTCCTTAAGCACACCAGGTATACACATGAGTGTGTGACACTCTGTTAAGAGTGCTTGTGTCAGTCTCTCTTCACACACACACACACACACACACCCACACACCCCTGACATAGAATAAATAAGTAAAACTATTTTTTAAAATGTAGTGTTTAAAATGTTCAGTAAGAAAGCAAGTGGTCTATTCCGAAAGGAACTATGAGACATTAATAGAAATCAAACTGTGATAAATGGGAAAAGTATGAAGCCTGTTAGCATTAACAGTCTGTGCTTGGCCTAATCCATGTCAGTTCTTAGACAAGAGGAAGAATACAGTGGCCAAAAGATACACTGACCAGCGTGTCTGTGGTGTATTCAGAACAGATGATAGAGGAGGCAGAGCCTTGTAGAGAAAGGCTTTTGTATTTGCATTTGCTTTGTTTATTGTTTACTCATTGAGCAAGTGCTTGGCCAGTCACTGATGTGTACTTGGGTATATGTGTGTTTAAATAATGTGGCATAGCTAGAATTATGTAGTAAGCAGGTAATTGATACCTAAAAGAAAGAACAAGGTATGTTAATACTAAAGCTGCTTATTGGCGTCAGCAAAAGTCATATATGTGCTACTGCAGAAAACATTCATAATAATGTGGTCTACACTAGTTTTTCTGCCATCAGTCAGCCACTGGACTCTGATCATAGTTGATATTTATTGAGTGCTTGACATGTACCACCACTGAACCAAGTTGAAATATTTTAATGTCAAACATTCTGAAGAGGTAGATCCTATCAGATCCATTTTTTTAAGTTAATGTATTTGCTTATTCTGTGAAGGAGAGACAGACAGCCAAACATTACAGGGTCTCGATGCGCCAATCCACCCCAGCCTTCCACCAGCCCTGGGTCATGGGCAAGTGCATGTGCAGCATACTCAGGGATGTCTCCTGACTTGAATCAAGAACCTTCTCATGTAGGAATGCCTCACAGAACATCACCTTGTACGGCTGCATGACTGTCTGTCCCGTCACACCCATTTTAATGAAGGAAAAACAGAGGTTCACACAGCTGCACAGATGTACTGAAGATTCAAGCCTGGGTTTTGTTTAATACTGCCACTCTCATCTAATTTCTCTGAGGCTGTTGTTATCTGTAAACTGGAGATAATACTGAAAGAAGCACTAGAAGAAGCACATTTTTGTGAAAACTTTAAAATGTGTCAAGCTTTATTTAGAAATAATATGCTATTATATATAAATAAAAGATTTAAACCAGCAAGCAGCATTTCATTGCTGTGACATTTATTCATATCCAGTGAGCAATGTTGTTTAGTTTTGCTAACAAGTCATTTATTTTCATACTTTATGGAACTGTTTTTCAAACATATCATTGATTATTTAGGTAGCTACAATTTAGGCTTTACTTTTCTATCAAAAAATGTATCCTTTTTCAGAGATTGTCATGCTTGAGGGGATGCAGTAATTACCTTTCAATATAATCGCAGTCGTATTATAACACACACAACTTACAGGTCTTTCGATTGCTTTTTGTTTTGGCCTGGACATCATTGTCAATACGTCTTAAGTTACATTAAATCTTAAAAACAAATATGCGTAAAATATCAAATGTAAAATATTCAAACCATACAAACAAAAAAGTAGTTTAACATAATTGTTACCAGCTAACCCATTGCTGACTCCAAAGCCATGAAAATAGCCTTTTGAAGGATTACATGAATATATGATATAGTATATTATAAAAATGAAGCTGGTGGATTATTTTGTTTAACCCAGATGACCACTTGATGGTCAAAGATATACTTCATATATTTGTATCTCACATTTATATAACTAAAATTTTCTTTAAACTTTTTTTTTCATATTTAATAAATCTGTTCTAAAAGAAATTAAGAAAAAGTTGAGCATTGTGATACAAGACTAAAAACTAAAATTCATGGCAAAAAAATACTAAACTAATGAATTTAGTTTAATGGACTTAGAAAGTGATTCGTAAAATTCCTAAATCTGTATTGGAATAAAGAGGGTTTTTTTTTTGGGTGGGGGGGAGTTTTTGCTATAGGATGCATGCGCTCGCCAGACATACATAGAGAGACAGAGAGACAGAAAGCGAGAAATCACCCCCCAGGGAGGATGACCACGCTGTAATCCCTTCTCCTCCATTCTCCTCTCTGGATCTTGGGCACGCACGCACACGCGCCCAGCGTGAGTTTTAAGCCATCGGGTCCGGGATGCAAACCGCGGTCAACTACATGGGAGTCCAGCGACATAGCCATTACGCTAACTGCTGGTCCCTGGAATAAAGAGTTTTAAGTGAGGACCAGCTTGTTATAGGGAACAGGGTTAACTTCCCTCAGGCTTAGAATCTTGTAAGGGGATTGAGTTAGAGAATTCTGAACCATGGCTTTGGTTAGCCCTTTATACTCTCTATCACTGTCAGCATTTTGATATTTTGCAAATTTTTTTAAGATTATAATTTTTTCTGTGAGAGAGAGATGGGAAGGGAAACCCCCAACAGGATCTTCACATTGCAGTCCACCTTGTCGCCAGGTGAAGGGCACATAACACCCACGTGTCCACACCTAGCATGGTCAGGGATGTCCAGGGAAATGAACCCAGGACCTTCCCATCTGAATCCACCTGCATTTGGGCTATACCACCCTTTTACAAAATACTTGGACCTTCCAAACATCACATTATTTTTCCCAGCTACTTGTTTTTAGAAATCATCCATAGTCACTAATACTCAGTGCCACTACTAAGATTTTGGTTTTGTTTATTTGTAGGAGTGGGCTTTTATAGGTTGAGATCTACTATTTTTGAGCCTTTATGCCAGTTAAACGAGAGATGGCAAGGTAATCACACTTGTCGGTTGCTCATGGAGCAGTTACAGCAAGCAGTGTTTTAAATTTTACCCACTTTTATTTATGGCAATTAGAAGAAATTTTTTCTGTGTGTTGACTGATTTTTTTTTTTCTGTTCTATTTTCCACAGAAACGCTCCAGAGGGCAAGTGCTATTTGATAAAGTGTGTGAACATCTGAACCTGCTAGAAAAAGACTATTTTGGGCTTACATATCGAGACGCTGAAAACCAGAAGGTAAGAGATCAAAAGCAATACAAAACGTGATGGCTAGAAGGGCTCTTACTGCAGTGAAGTGAACGGAAACTGAATAGTGGGTCATTTTCTCCACCTTCCCTCACACATCCTCATTAGACCTTTGAGTCCCTAAGTGCTATTAATCATCTTATTTCTTCATGAGGGAAATCATGACCAACTTCTTCTCATCTTAAATATTTTGAAAACAATACATCATCTCCTCTGTTTTCACACGAGTTATTTATGGTTTCAGGAAAGCAGTGCTTTTTTTTTTTTGATAATACATTCCAGTGGATTGTTTGAGCCAATGAAAATGAAATACTTTGAGACTTAGGTAGAACATATGTTCACACTCCGAAATTCAAGGAAGATATTGCGGTTCTGACAGTAAGTGTCTGGGCAGTTCACTACTGGGGCTGCTGTCCTATTCTTAATTCATCTTATGATTCTTTCATGCTCCTACTGAATCAGAATATGAGATGGGTCACTTGCTGACCTGACACTCATCTAATTTAGTCGGTGTTGAAAGTTTAATGTGATACTTCTGTAGACCCTTCACTTGAGTAATACAGTCTGTTTGGAGATTTCCCTCTCTAATCCCCATGACTACCTGAGATAAGAGGCAGTCGTTTCCATGTGTCAGTGCAGGAAACTGAGTCACAGGAGTTTGCTCATAGATGGTGCTTATTTTGGTGCTGAGCCACGAGCCACTTAAAACCTACTGACATCACTAGACAATATCTAACTTTCTTCGTAATCATCTGATTTTTCCAATGAGGAAAATCACCCATCTCAAGCAAGTGCTCATTTGTTAGGGAAGTTCTCTAGGTAGATGCCTAAGAATTTGTAATCCTCAAAGTAATTAAGATGGAAGCAAATAGGCTGGGATAGAAGCGTGTCTCCTTACATGTGTCTTTAGTTTATTCTGGTCACTTGTTTGAACTTAGAATCTTCCTCCATTTTCCCCATCTATTTCTGTACTAACTCAAATTCCTGCAGACAGAGATGGTAAAAGAAAACAAATTTTCGCAAGCACAAATTGTACCCCCATGCATTTCCTCTTTACAACAGCATCCCAACCCCCACAGGGACTAGTGGAGGTGCTCCAGATGTGGGGGAGGGGCCACACTGAGGAGGCTCTCCCCACAACCACTGTCTCCAGTGACCACTCAGCATGCAGGGCATTTGGGCCACGTCTATACCTAAGGAACACTGAGTTATTTTTGTTCTTCTCTAATTCACATTCAAAATGTCATTTCCTTTTCAGAATTGGTTGGACCCTGCTAAGGAAATAAAAAAACAGATTCGAAGTAAGTTATTTTGGATTACTTATATGATAATATGAAGATTTTTAGAGTGGAGTTTGTCTGAATCGATAGCCCATACCCAAATAGCCAATGTGAATGCAACTTTTTTTTTACATTTTTTTCTTTCATTTATTTATTTTTACATTTTTCCACAAACATTTTCTTTACATATCAAAAACTTATAGCTCATACTCCATAGTTCTTGACAGTTCATAAACAACTTTCAAAATTTCAAAATACTGAATTTTAAAGGTAATGTTCAAAATATTGCTTACAATTTTGTATAACTTTATGACTCTATAACAACAGAAGCAGTATGGTTTCAAATATATATATATTTTTTTACAACTTTTTTTTTAAAGACAAATGAAAACCTCAAATTTTATCTAGGGGGTTGGTCTAGCTCATATAGTACCTGTTTTCAATTATTATAGAAGTTAAAATGGCCATGACACTTGACCTATTTTCTTGCCTGTACGTATAGATGTGAAACATATGATTTAATCAACTGATGTTTCAACTGGCAATTAACCATCTGAAAATTAATGTTAATGTTATATTAAGCCTTAAGTACCACAAAAGTATAGAAACCAAGTTAAAAGTAACAGGTATTTGAAAGTTTAAAAATGGAATAACAGATTGCACTGATGTTTGCTGTCTAGTGACAGCCTCTTTTTTAGTCTCTAAAAGTAAATGGAGAAATAAATATTTTCTAATGGACAGAACAGTTGCACAAGCAAGTCACAAAATTGGAATGCAAATAGCTTATAGGTATTAAAATACATTTCTAAATCTTACTAATGATTCATTGGAAATTAAAATGAGATACTATTTTTCACCTATTTGGATTAGCAAAGATTTCAGAAGTTTGATAATTAACTGCACTGGCAACTCTGTATCCAATTGGTAGAAGTATAAATTGGTGCAACCCTCTAAGAGGAAAATTTGTTTGTATTTATTAAAATTTGAAATGAGGGCTGACAGGTGGCATGGTGGTTAAGAGTGCTAGACTCTTACATGGCCAACCATGGTTCAAGTCTTTGACCTAGTGGCTTGTTTCTCACTTAACCCCCCTCTCATCTCATCTCTCTCTCTCTCTCTCTCTCTCTCTCTCTCTGTCCCTCTCTAGTCAAAGTAAATAAATTAATTAAAGTAAGTAAATAAATAGAGTTAAATAAAAAATAATTCTTTAAAACGTTTTTGAAATAGACTCTGACTTTAATTTTACTTGTAGGAATTTATCAAGCATATGTATTAGAGAGGAAAATGTGTGCATGTGTGTGTGCACATAAAAGTTTATCCCAGTACTATTTGCAGTGGCAGAATCCTAGAGGCATCTTAAATATAAATCTATAAGGAAATGATTAAATCAGGTATGAAATAGCCATACAGATATGTCTTAAGTCTCGTTTGTGAAAATCAGGTAGTAAAAATTGTCTATAACATTCGCACATTTGCTTTTAAAAAGTCACAGCTATATAGGGGGCAGTATGTAGCATGGTGGTTAAGGAACTGGATCTCACATGGTTGTCAGCTTACAAAACACGCTAGGCTTGTGGGTGTACATGCCCAAAAGGCTAAAAGGATTACAGAGGAGAAGAGATTATGGTGTGGCCATCCCTTCTGGGGGGTGATTTCTCACTTTCTTTCTTTCTCTCTCTGGTAAGCGTATGAATCCTATAACAAAAACAGTCATGCATATATAAATGCATAGAAAAGTTTTGGAATGCATAAAGAATATTAAAATAATCACCTACAGAAGTGGCACAACAGTGTAGTGAGTAGAAAAGGAGGATTTTTTTTTTATGTTTTACCCTTTTCTGTAGCTCTTACTTTTACTACAAACATGAATAATCTTTATAATTTTAAATAATTAATTTTGGGAAAACAGTTCATGTTTATATCAATAAAATCTAAACCAATTCTTCTGAACAACGAATTCTAGTTGAAGAATAAGCATAAGACCAGTTTATTAATAAGAACATCATTTCCTCTTCAGTAAGAAGATGTCTTGAACAGTTCACTATTAAATACTTCTTAGTATCTTTGAAAGTCCTGAGGTGTCAAAATATTCCAAGTACTAATCGAATGTAATTAGTAGTCTGCAGTTTGAAATGGTTCAATACTTGATAATATCCCCAGAGGAAGAAATAGCAACTGCACTTGTAGATAGTAGAGAATGTGCTGATTATTTTTACAAGATGTTTATCTTTACTATATTTTTTAGACAATTTTGAAATATTCACTAACCAGAAACTTGACAATGAATTCATTGGATTTAATTTAATTGAGATTGAAGCCAGGAACCACCTCTCATGACAAATAGATGAAAACACTACTTGTTTATTTTTGTTTGTTTTTTTGAGAGGTTTTTATGCTATAGGGCACATGCTCTCGCCAGACAGACATAGAGACAGAAAGCGAGAAATCACCCCCCCAGGGGGGATGGTCATGCCGCAATCCCTTCTTCTCCATTCTCCTCTCGGGATCTTGGGCACGCACGCACATGCGCCCGGCATGAGTTTTAAGCCACCGGGTCCGGGACACGAACCGCGGTCAACTATGTGGGAGTCCAGCGACATAGCCATTACGCTAACTGCTGGTTCCCAGCACTACTTGTTTTTATTCTGAGTAGTCATAATAAAAAATATAAGATGAATATATTCTAAGAATTTTTATGCCGTTATTAAAGGCAGACATGCTGAATACACAAAGGGTCTTCAAAAAGGTCATGAAAAAACTATTCATGGATTTCAATTTGCTTTCATTAAAATAAAGTTGTACTGGGACCAGCAGTTAGTGCAATGACTATGTCGCTGGACTCCCATGTAGTCGACCACGGTTCGCATCCCTGACCCGGGGGCTTAAACTCACACCGGGCGCGTGTGCGTGCGTGCCCAAGATCCCGAGAGGAGAATGGAGGAGAAGGGATTGTGCGTGGCCATCCCCTCTGGGGGGGTGATTTCTCGCTTTTTGTCTCTCTCTCTCTCTCTCTCTCTCTTTCTGGCAAGTGCACGCACCCTATAGCAAAATCCTCTCCCGGGAACCAGCAGTTAGCGTAATGGCTATGTCGCTGGACGCCCACGTCGTCGACCGCAGTTCACGTCCTGGACCCGGCGGCTTAAAACATGCCAGACTCGTGTGCGTGCGTGCCCAAGATCCCGAGAGGAGAAGGGATTACGGCGTGACCATCCCCCCTGGGGGGTGATTTCTCGCTTTCTGTTTCTCTGTCTGTCTCTGTCTGTCTGGCAAGCGCATGCGCTGTATAGCGAAAAAGCTCTCCAAAAAAAATAAAACCTCTCCCAAAAAATTAAATAAATAAACTTGTATTTTAATTGTGTTTTTCCATGAAAATTTTGAAATCCTTTCATAATATTTTGCATCCATAAAGTCTTCTGTATTTACTACTTAATGAAATACTGAACTGATTGATAATTGCAAGGTAATTTGAAAACATGTAAAATGTTCAAGGATAAGTCATACTACTATTACAAGAAAGGATGTATGAACTAGTTCTCTTTTCTATTGTTAATAAATTCTTTTTCTCTTAACTTCCCATTTACACTGTCTCCTACCTTTTTAAGAGAAAAAAAAAACATAACAGATACTGGAACATGAGATTTAAAGGATATTTTTATCATGCAGATTAGACAGTGGCTGTGAAGGCACTATAAAGAAAACTCACAGTTGAAAATAAAGGAGGAGGAAAACTAGAATTTTTAAAAAAATGGAATTTGGTATTTTTATCTGTACTCCTTGTTGTTTCTTATGCACTAAAATGCCCTTTCCACGAAATTTACATTCTATCAAGGTGGAGAACTATTATCATATGTAATATAACTGTTGTGAGCACCTCCTCTTCCTAGCTGTAGATGATAAAAGGATTTGTGCATCTTTTTATTCTGTAAATCTACATCATGCCTCTAGAATTAATTTTTAAAAATATTTTAGGTTTTTTTTTTATAGGGCCTGTGCACTCACCAGAGAAAGAGACAAACAGCAAAAGTGAGAAATCTTCCACCAGGGTGGATGGCCATATTGCAATCCCTTTTCCTCCAGTCTCTTCTCAGGATTTTGGGCACCTTTGTGTACATATATCTCATGTGAATTTCAAGCTGCCAGGCATGGGACTTGAACCATTATACGGCCATATGAGAAACCAATGCCTTAACCACCACACCACCTGCTGGTCTCTAGAATGAAATCTTTAAGAGAATGGACATCATGAGCAGATTATAAGTTATCAGTTTATAATAAATTCTGAAACTGAAGTTCTGTTAAAAAAAAAGTCCAATTCTAGTTATCTTTTATGTATGCCAGATCTAATAATATCTACATATACCAAATTTTGTAATTATAAGTGTAGTGTATTTATTATATAGTAGTTCTGCGATAGAAATGCAATATATTTAGAACTTTTAAGATTTGGCAGACAGAGAAGACTAAAAGTAGAAATTTTCATCAGAATGAGCTCTCTTCAGTGTCACAGTTTTCTATTTATCATAAATTTGTAATTTAAAATCCTACATCAGCATTATAGAAATATTCATTTTAATGTGTTCAAGCTGTTTCATTTCCTCTTTCGAACCAGGGCCATCCTCTGAGCAGACACAGGGTTGCAAGCTCATTCATTGCATAAGCACATCCTCCTGGTTGGTTTGTTTCTGCCATGTCCATTAAGGGGAGCTGTATTTGAGCTCTAACTGCCTTTCTCATTAATTTCTTTTATGCCCCACTTGACTGGATTTCTTTTCTTGATTGGGATATATATTATAGTTTTTATAAACTTTCCCATTGTTTCTAAATAATGTCCTAAAAGACTTGTAGTTATTTGAGCTAAATAACCATAGAAAAGTATTATTTAATAGTGATGATAGTCACAGGTGCTCCCAACACCCACCTTAGTAGAACCACAAGAGAGTTTATTTAAACTACGAATTCCTGGGCCGTATTTCAAATCTCTGGACTATAAATCTCCAGAGTACAGCCTAGGAATTGGCATTTTTAACAAACACCTCAGGTACTTTAGAGTCCTCTAATTTGAAATGTCTTTCCTAACCTTTTATTACTTATTAGTTTCCAACTTAGAGTTTTCACCCTGTACTTATTATAAGATTATTTAATTACATTGCTAAACTATTTATTGGATTCAAGGCATACTTTGAAGTGGATAAAAATTATAAAAGGACAGTAAATCAATTTCCCATAACTAATCCTATAGTTTTAATTCAGCTTGCTTGGGGGAAAGCCAGCTCTCATCATGAACCTGACTGTTGTTAAGTATTGAAGGGATCCATTTTAGTGGGAAAAGAGTAGTGATCAATGAGAAAATAAAACCAAATAAGACTATGCAGTTGGCATAATGGCTATGTCACTGGACTCCCATGTAGTCAACCGTAGTTCGAGTCCCAAACCTGGTGGCTTGAACTCACGCCAGGTGCATGTGCGTGCATGCCCAAGATCCGAAGAGGAAAACGGAGAAGGGACTGTGGTGTGGCCATCCCCCCTGAGGGAGATGGCCTTTCTGTCTCTGTGTCTCTCTGTGTCTTTCTGGTGAGCAGATGCACTCTATAGCAAAAACCTCTCCAAAAAAGAAAAAAGAAAAAAAAAAAAAAAAAGACTGCTAAAAATAGGATAACAAATGGTGGAGAAATGGAGGAGAATTGTAGTGTGACCATTCCCTGGAGGGCATGCTTTCCTCTCTCCCTCTCCCATCTCTCTCTGGTGACCACACGTGCCCTATGGCAAAATCCTTAAAGAAAAAGGAGAGGGAGAGAGAAATATTAAGTATTTTGAGTATGAAATATGGAGTATGAAACGTGGAGCTTTGAGTACGAAATAGGGAGCTCTGTAGGGCTTTATGATGTTTCAAGGATAGGTGTAGACAATACAGAGAGTAGGTACCTGAGAGCTAACATCTGGGAATTATATACAGTTCTTTGCTCTACCAGCAAAATTATCTAAGGGACGATGGAAACTAACAGCCAGTTGACACTTTCCATTGTTGAAGTGGCCTTAGTAGAGTCACAGAATAAATTAGAACAAAATGTAAAGATAAAGAGGATTAGTCTCAATCATGGACTAAGAACGTGTAGAATTTGGTGTAATGCACAGCAAATGCACTCAGGTATCTGTATCAAAAATTTTCCTGAAGAATAAAAGAATTTTTAGTAGGTCATAGAGAAGCCCACTTATTAAAGCAATATTTACTACAACATAATCTTTCCATGAAATAAAAATATGGGGGCCAGCAGGTGGTGTGAAGGTCAATGTGCTGCATTCCCACATGGCTGACCACAGTTCGAGTCCTGGACCCAGTGGCTTGAAAATCACACTGAGTGTGTGTGTGTGTGTGTGTGTGTGTGTGTGTGTACATGTCCAAACTCCCGAGAGGAGAATAGATTGAAGTATGATCATGCCCCTTGGAGAAGTGATTTTTCACTTTCTCCCCCCTCTTCCTTTGATGAGTGCACATGCCCTCTAACAAAACTATTAAAAAAAATGTTGACTACTCAACTGACATTTATTATTATGAGATTTTTACCTAGTAGGAAGGAAAATAAAATGAGAGTTATGTCTATAGTGTCGGTATGGAAGCTACTTAGAAATCTTTAACAAATCTGGTCAATTCCAGGCTATCTGATTGATATTTATTCATATGGTTCACTATTTTTCCTTCGAAAGGTTTACCTTTGATCCTAAGAAAAGCAGGAAGCTTGGTCAATTTCCTCACTGGTTAGAAGTGCCGGTAAAGTACTTGATGAGGTTTCAGACTTACCTATGGCTTTCATGTAACAGAGACTTCCCTATTTTTCTTTGATGATCAAAAGTTGCCTGGGTGTCAATGTTTGGCATTTAAGGCAGTTCTGACCATAAATTAGAATTGTAAGTCAAAGATTTTCTAAGGTTTTATTCTAATTGTTTCCCTTCCTTGCAGGTGGTGCTTGGCACTTTTCATTTAATGTGAAATTTTACCCACCAGACCCCGCCCAGCTATCTGAAGATATCACCAGGTATTTCCGCATTGGCTATGGAAAGGGCAGGCCCACTGGGAGAGTTGTGCTTCTCCTAAGTGCTCTAGATGTGACATGCTTATGTCTGGTAGCCTTATAATTATTCATGTCAAAGGCAAACAAAAGACAAATGAGTGAGGGCAAACATCTGATGAGATTTGGCAAATCCTCTCTGTTCACTGTTGAATCTTTAGTGTTAAACTGATAACTCCTTCAGCCTGACCTTGGTGGGAAAACATGCAGACTGGAGATGCCGTCATCCACCCACCACAGCCATATTGGATGGGATTCAGCCTTAAGTGATAGAGCATTTCTTAGTGTTTTTGCTTTAAAACTGACAGCAAATGTCTTTAAATGCTTGCATTTTCTGTATAACCAGCCTGCTCTTGACAGCTATTTTTAAAATGATGTGCATGTGCACACATACAGATGTGCATAAACACAGGTCAGTTTAACAGTTCATTATCTATGCCCCATCTATAAAGGAAAATGATTAATGTGGTTTCTGGAAGGAAGACATTAAGAAAAGAATCAAACATAAAAATATTCCAGGTAGGGAAATGAGCTTTGAGTATGAAAAGAGATCACTTTATAAAATTGAACTGAGTGTCTTAGTCTGTTCAGGCTGCTGTAACAAAATACTGTAGACTAGATGGTTTATAAACAATACAAATGTATTTCTTACAGTTCCTGAGGCTGGGAGTTGTAGATCAGAGTGCCAACATGGTCTGGGTCTAGTGAAGGTCTGCCTCCAGGTTGCAGGCTGTCAACCTGACCCTCTTGCTGTGTCCTCACTTGGTGGAAGTGGGAAGGGAGTCTCTTTCCAGCCTTTTTTATGAGAGAATTAATCCCATGCATAAGGGCTTCACGTTTATGACCTAATCCCCTCCCAGTGACACTCCTACTCCCCTCACATCTTGCCATCTTGGGGATCGAATTTCCACACAGGAATGGGGAGAGGGCACATTCAGCCCATTGCTCTTGGTTTGCCATGTGTCCTTCGAGGCTTCTTTGCATTCTGCTTGGAGCCCCTGTCACTCTCACTGTTTGGTAATAACTTTATGACTAGTCAAAACTATTTTGTCCACTGTGTGCACGATTTCCTCTATAAGCTTCATATCCTTCTTGGAGGTCTTTGCAGAAAAGAAAAATTACTGGGACTACCAGATGGCCTAATGGTTACATTGTTGGACTCCCACATAGGCAATTGCTGTTGGAGTCCAGAAGCTTAAAGCTCAGTCCAGGTGCATGTGTGTGCATGCCCAAATTTCTGAGAGAACAGAGGAGAAGGGATTGTGTTGTGGCCATCCCTCCTGGGGATGATTTCTTTCTGTCTGTCTCTGTCTGTCTCTTTCTTTTCTCTCTGTCTCTCTGGTGAGCAGGTGCACTGTATAGCAAAAATCTATCTTTAAAAAAAAATGAAAAGAAAAGAAAAATTATTCTAACAGCTTCAGTCACCTTGCTGTGATTAAAAATAATTTTACCAGACTTATTAGGAGAAGGGTACACTTTAGTTCCAGAGGATTTATTTTTGTATTAAATCAAGAAATTTATTATTTCCTATTTAAAGATACTTTTTAGTAAATATTGAGAAACTTATAACTGATTTCTGGTTATAGAGGGTTTTTTATAATTATTTTGTTTTATTTGTTTTATTATTATTCACTTTGTGCAGAGAGAGAGGGAGAGTGAGAAAGCAAGTCACCAGGTCTGGGACTCGAACCATGGGAGTCTGGTGCCTTAACTACCACCCCACCTGCCAGCCCATGGTTATAGATTTTATGTATACCTGGATTTGAAATTTTAATTCTTGGCCCTTCTGTCTACCTGTATAATGCTTTGGAATGTGCTAAATGTTTATGAATTTTAATTTGAATTATTTATATCACTAACCTAAAGTCATACTTACAAGTCACTTTGAGAAATTTGTAGTCTTCTACTTTAGCATTTCATGTTTTGTATGAAAAGTTAGGGCCTGCCACCTGCAGGTGGTTGAGGGTGCTGGACTCCCACATGGCAGACCATGGTTTGAGTCCTGGACCTCACAGCTTGCTTTCTCTCTCTCTCTCTCCTCTCGTCAAATTAAAATAAATAAAGATAAATAAAATAATTCTTTAAAAAAAAAAGTACAAGTTGTGTTTTATCATACACCTGTGCTAAACCATAGTAGGTGTTTTTTAAACTCATTGATATTAACACTTAATTTGAGATATTTTCAGTTAGTATTTTATCTGGAAATCTTTAAAGCTAAATAACAGAGAAGACAAATCATCCATAAACAGAGATATTCATTTGATAACAAATGCTAGCATTTATTTGGAAAATATTTCATATTTCTTCAATTTAAAACTATACATACAGGGGCCAGCAGCTGATGTGGTTAAGGTGCTGGACTCTCACATGGCAGACCGCAGTTGAGTCCCGGACCTGGTGGCTCGCTTTCTCACTTTCTCTCTCTCTCTCTCTCTGTGTGTGTCTTGCTCTGGTGATTTATGTGCCCTATAGCTAATTAAAACATAATAATATAAATAGAATAAATCTTTTTTTAAAAAAGCCTGTACTTACAGTGACAAGATTCCTAAATTTTAAGGTAATAATTCCAGAGTTACACTTCATATCAGTTAGATTTTAAGAAGCTATCTAAATTTTTTAAATGAGAATTTAGCACAGGAGAAATGACTGTAAAGAGACTATCTCATCAGGAATTCAGGGATATGAGGGCAGAGTTTATGTAGACGTAGCTGCTTGATTTACCTGAAGTCAGTCATGGCCCCATGGCAACACCTGTCTTCTAGATATCAAAATGAGACTTCATAAGGCTAGTTGGGGCTCAATGATTATATTTAAGAGCATCATTTTTATATTACAATGACCCTACCCAAAGATTTATGGACATATGTTGAGGACACTTTGACTTTGAAAGTTTATTTTATTTTGAAATGTTAGTTTTAACATTTAGAAGATGTTATAGGAATATGTGTTTAGATTCCTTTTACTGTGTGCTTTATTAATAAAACCCTGTTTTATGGTTTATCCACCTTTTATACTGAGTGAGCACCTTTTCTTCAATCCTAATACTGCTTTTGGTTTGCCCTTTGGCACCTGGAAGGTACTACCTCTGCTTACAACTGCGAGACGACATCGTGTCAGGAAGACTGCCCTGCTCCTTTGTGACCCTTGCTCTGCTGGGCTCCTACACAGTGCAGTCAGAACTTGGGGACTATGACCCAGACGAATGTGGGAATGATTACATCAGTGAGTTCCGCTTTGCACCAAACCACACTAAAGAACTGGAAGACAAAGTGATTGAGCTGCACAAGAGCCACCGGTGAGTGGCTTTCATTTAAAGTGATGCCTTGATGAGTGAGCATTCCTTCCTCAAACCTCTCCTTCCAGTATTAGTTTGGTATTAAGGATGGGCCTTTAGCAGAGTGAGAATCTATACCTGGTCAAGTTCTAGGATAGGTGAGCTCTCACTCAGAACATCCAGGTGTTCATTTGTATTGTCTTCTTTAAAGCCATTTTCCTTGCTACTCTTTTTCCATATCTCTGCCTGTGCAGAGCATATATCTGCTGATGAGAGCTTTTTTATTAGATAACAAGGAGCAAAGTGGGAAATCTTACAGCCCCACCAGGTAAAGGAAAAACAGTTGTTTTCAAAGTTTAATTCTGATAAAAACAAAAAGCAACATTTTAATCCATTGTTTTCCTTATCAGGGGAATGACTCCAGCAGAAGCAGAGATGCATTTCTTGGAAAACGCCAAAAAACTATCCATGTATGGGGTAGACTTACATCATGCCAAGGTATGCATTTTACAAACCACAAACTTTCAATTTCATTATATCTAACCCTAGGTAGTTATTGCTGTAAGGTGCTGATATTTACTTCAGTTACACTAAATGAAAACCTCAGAGATTCCCGTCTGTGTTTGCCTCTTAAGCTTTACTCCATGATAAAACAAATTTGACTCTGATATTTGCTGAGCAGTTTGCTCCTCATGCCTCAGATCTGTGTTACTTGTGGGCTCAGCCTACAGAAAGGTGCAGTGAGCAAGGCCTTTGATTTCCTGTTGATGCAGTCAGGAACTTACCTTTTCAGCCCAAGCTCTTAGTTCGCCTCACATTCCCGTCACATCCCTGTCTCCCATTCTGTGCCAACACATGCCCATTGCTCCTGTCAGTCCTTGTGTCTGCATGTTCCCATTTGTGTGGACTGTTGTGTACTTTCCTGTCTATCTAAAGTTGGCTAATTGTCCCAGACTCAAGGTCACATATATTATGTGCCACATAATGTTGTAACACTGCTCTGGACACCATCAGGCTCTCAGTAAGTTCATGTTAAGTGTGAATAACTCTGCCTCTAAAGTTTAGGTCCTTTGTCAAATCAGTATTCCTTTGAAATAAGGTTGTTACCCTAAAGTTCAACTAAAATTAGCCGTTCAGGCTAAGGATTGTGTCATTGACTGGTGCAGTCAGGGACATTGACTGGTACCTTTCTTGGTACAGCGTCTTGAAAGCAAAACGTTGGAATTAAAATATGAAAGGGTAATGGGTGTATGGTTAGATACATAGAGCAGCTTGTTTCATGCTTTTTCTAGAATCTCTGAATTTCTCAGCATTGAGAAAATGGAAATGTAGACTTGTTACTAGGCTATGAGTTATTCTGGTTTTTAAACTGCCAGAGGGCACATGCACTCACCAGAGAGAGACAGAGAAAGGGAAAAGGTACCCCACTGATGGGACGTGACCACACTGCAGTCCCTTCTTTTCCCTTTCTCCATCCTGTCAGGATTTTGGGCACACATGTATACCTACCCAGCATGTTTCTCAACCCACCAGGGCTGGAATTTGAACTACCTTCAGCCATGTGGGACCTGACTCTTTTAACCACCAGGCCACAGGGCTGATCCACTAGTCTACTATTTAAATAGCCATGAAGAGAAGTACTATGGAAATATAGGGGAACTTCAATAAAAACTTTTATCAACAAACATATGAAATTTGTTAGGATTCTCGATATGAATTCTGATACTTCAGCAGTGTTTAAAAATTCAGTGATTGAAGATCAGAGATAGTTTCATCTGAGTGGGACTGACAAGATAACATCGCTTTAGGGATGTGTGTCTGAGCTCTGACAGAGTTAATCATGGACTGGGACTCAAAAACATGTAATTGTAGGCTTCCAAGCAAGTACGTGTCTTATACAGTCACGTTTAAGACACATGTAAGGGCCTAGAAGTGAAGAGAATTTCTGCCAGCTTTGTTTAAGCAGACATCTCCATAACCCTAATGATCATAGGGGGAAAATCTATGGTCGGTAGGTTCAGTTGACACTGGAAGTCAAACCACTCTTTGGTCAGCAGTTGGGGAGCATTGGAGCAGGAAACTGGTGGTCATTGGAATAATACGGGTTTGATTGGTTTGGTCTGTGGATTGTGTGCATCACACAGGGAGAGCGGCCCCAAGACCTGAGTACTACCAAACTCCCAGAGCCTCACCTGGGGCTTATACCAGGGATGTGCTGGTCCATCAGGTGCCAAGCTCTTTGACATCTGAGCATAATTACATCTGCAGTGTAGTTCTGTTTACCTGCTGGATTATTATTACACTTTTCACTTACTTTTTACTTAGAGAAAAAAGATGTTGCCTGGTTTATGCAAGATATATGGTAGGATGAGGATTTCAAAATCAAATTAAGAGAGCCAGATGGTGCACAGTGGTAAAATGCAGCCCTCTGTGAGACTGACCCACATGGGAAGGTTCTGGGTTCATATCCAGACACCTCCCAGAGTACACTGGCACATGCCTTCCCATGATTCAAGGCAGGCAGACCATGGGAGTGAACTGGGTGTCAAGACCCATTAGGAATTCTGGCTCTCTGACTCTGACCCTCTCTTGTTCATGAAATAAATAAATAAAATTTAAAAAATAAGGACAGATGTTAAAATTTTAACATTTTTTCTAGAGTTTTCCCCTAGGTAGCTTAAAGATAAGGAAACAAGAAGGTGATGAAAGTAGCCTGAGAATTTGAGTGAATCTAAAGCTTTGTTGAAGTAACATCGTACAGTCTGATTTACTTACTGCCCAGAAAAAAATTTTAAAAAGGTTAGGGTATACATTTAGGGAAGTACAACTCAATACTGATCAGTGTTCCTGTTATTAAAAATATAATTGCTTAACATTGCTATAGCTACTGCATTAAAATAGATGGCTGCTTTGTTGTTCCATAATATGATTTTGAAATTATGCCAATTAAAAAGAAAGAGAATTAAGGAAGTGCAAATGCAGCCCATTATAGGATTTTATCTGAATAGTAAGTATGACAAATGATTCAGTTATAGACTCCATTTTCTCATGCAGTCCTACTCCATCATTTCAAGAAGGAAATTTACTGAATTAAATTAGAGCTAATTTCCGGTTATAAGCAAGATGCTTTCTTCTATTGATGTTATGAAAGCCCCTGTGCTTGATGATCCATTTTAAAATTCTGGATTGTGAACTTGGACTCCACAGCTCTGTACACAGAATAAATACCATATTAGATGAAGGTCCTATGTTGTAGAAAGCGTATTCTAAACGTGTTTTTGAAAACCTGTTCTAAACACCATGTTTTTTCTTAGGAAGTCTGTTTCTGCCTGTTTGTTAATGTCAGTCTTCATAGACTTGTCAGACGCACCTATTCCATGTAAGATTCTAAAATGTGGATATAAATTTATATCAGATATCCCATGAACCAAGTGATACTGAAGGATGGCAACATTTGAAGAGTGATTTTTAAATTAAGGCTATAGTACACCACTTTATCTTCATTATGATAGACTGAGGCTATCCAAGTCTCCCAGATAAAAGGGACATAAATGCATTTATTGATAGTGAAATGCATGTGTCCCCAAGAAAGACCGTTGTTATAGCTTCTATTTTTTATTTATGATTTTTATTGCCAGAGGGTGTGTGTGCTTGCCAGAGAGAAAGCATTTCTCAATGAGGCGTGGTCATGCCCCAGTTCCTTTTACTTCTCCACTCTTTGTTCCCATCAGGATTTGGGGAACACACATTTACAACTGGTGCGCCTCTCGAGATGCCAGAGCTGAGAGTCAAACCACGGTCAATCATGTGGGATCTGGCTCCCTTTAACCACTGTCCTATGAGGCCGACTCTGTTGTTTTATCTTTTAATTGAAATGATTCATCAAACTAGCCTCAATACTCTGGGCTGTGGCAGAAAGTTTGATATAAAGGTGTCATTTCTTATTACTGTGCTGTTAAAGAAATGGAGACTTTCATCCAATTTAAAACCTGCTCTTCCTGCCATTGCATTTTGCCTTCATCTTTTCTTTCACCTTCATCTTTTCTTTCACCTAACATGTAATGACTTAAACAAGGGGCTTCAAAAAGCTCATCAAAAAATAGAATTAAAGTATGAGTTTATTTTGATGCCCAAAAATCTGAGATTTATGAGTAGTTTCTTGATAGCATGCATTTCCATGACATTTTCAAAGACTCTCTGTCCATGCGTGATAGACCCTTTGCTGCCTAAAACGCTACGAAAGTAAACAAGAGTTTCTCCTCTCAGTCTGCACACAGCCGCAGAGAGAAAGATAAGTGGGAGGTTATTTCAGTGCTGTTTGCTAAGGGGTGCGATAGAGATAACAGATTGATTTGAGCACACAGACGTGTACCTTGTGAGGGACAAGAAGAGGAGACTTGAGGCGTACCTCATCTTCCTCGTGAAGAAGTGCTGTTTTCTTAGGATTCAAAGGCACTAATAGGTAAACCTCCTAAAAATGGATAGCAATAGAAAGGGTCTTAGATATTCTTTCCCTTTGTAACTTGAAGGCATATTTCATAAACTCATATTCTGTATTTATAAGAAAATAGTAATAATAACCTGATGGCAGCAGGGGTGGCACAGGGGTAGCACAATGTTCTGTGATGCTGAGGCTGTCTGGGAGCGTCCCAGATTTGTATCCCAAGGTCTCCCTGCACACCAGGCACAACACAACAACACATGTGCATGATCTGGGCTGGCTGAGGCTGGGGGAGGATCTCAGTGTGGAGACTCTGTCAGGTTTGCCTGTATCTGTCTGATGCAAAGCCCTGTTGATTGTATGACAGAAGACCTGAGTATAGCCTCTTGTGTGTGGCTAGCCCTGACCCTTTCTTTCCCTTGCTTCCATCAACCAATGGGAGAAGGGGTGGGCTCTGTACCTCACATCCAGTCCTGCATTTCTCCTTTTTATTTTTTTAAGTTTATTTATTCCATGAGAGAGAGCTAGACATACTCAGCATGAACCACCCCAGTCTTAGCCAGCCAAGATCACCAGCACACCTGTGTGTGCTTGGTGTGCTCAAGGAGGTCCTGGGATGAGAACGCAGGACCTTTCCCTTGTGGGTTCCCTTGCATTTCCACTGTGCCATCCGGTAGCTTCATCTCCACCATGGTTTTACCCTGGTTTGAATGGTGTACAACATTTAAGGGAGATAGACTCTATATAATGTATCTCCTAAGCATTGAATACCCTCTCTGTTTACCTCTAGACATCATACATCCCTAAGAAATTGCTTAATGGTAAAATGTACAAATAGCAAAAACACACCACAGTTTTAGTGTGATCCTACTTTGGTTTCTTTTTAAACTATACACATATGTAAACTATTATATTTACTAATATGCGTAAGCATATTGTTAACGTGATTATCACCAGACAGCGTGTTGGCACATGTGGGGGCAGGGGCTGAGTGGGAAATACACTAATACTTTTAAAAATCTCTCTTGTATCTAAATTTTACTCTGGCAATGTTAAAATGATCCAAGGATCTTTCCAGAGGAACAAAATCCAAAATACTCAAAGTGAAGGTAGGGACTCTCTCAGTATTCCTATCTTTAGGAATACTGCCGCTAGAACCGGGATGCCCATGTTCAGCTGGTGTTCCATACTTCAATTTTCTCATCTGTAAAATGGAAATAATAATAGCGACTCTCTTCATATGCATAGTCAAGATTAAAAGAGTTATATACAGAGAACAGTTAGTACAGGGCCTGGTGCTCAGTACATAAAAACTGGCTGTTAGTGCTACTGTCATTAACACACCTTCCTGTGCTTGACCTTCTCTGTTTGCTGGATTTATGTCATAAGGCTATGATACTTGAGTGGGCAGATTTACTCTAACAAATCTTCACCATGATAAATACCTTTATTAAAAAGCTATTATTGGGACCAGCAGTTAGCATAATGGCTATGTTGCTGGACTCCCATGTAGTCTACCGCAGTTCGTGTCCCGGAGCCGGTGGCTTAAAACTCACCCCGGGCGCTTGTGCGTGCGTGCCCAAGATCCCGAGAGGAGAATGGAGGAGAAGGGATTGCAGCGTGGTCATCCCCCTTGAGGGGGTGATTTCTCGCTTTCTGGCTCTGTGTCTGTCTCTGTCTGGTGAGTGCACAAGCCCTATAGTAAAAAAAAAAAAAAAAACTCTTTAAAAAAAAAACTATTATTTAATGGTAATGTTTAAAGCATGGCTGCAGTATTTTTTATATTTAAGTTGGTCAATATAGGTTCTGTCAGGGAATTTTAAATATTTCTGTACCTAGCTGAAGGTGTATGAAAATGAGATACTGATCTGTTGTTTGCTGCTGCTTTTTTCCAGGATTCAGAAGGAGTAGAAATTATGCTAGGAGTTTGTGCAAGTGGTCTGTTGATCTATCGTGACCGACTGCGAATAAACAGATTTGCCTGGCCCAAGGTTCTAAAAATTTCATACAAACGGAACAACTTTTACATTAAAATCCGGCCAGGGGAGGTATGTATACCCACATTTGCATTGTCCTTGAGAAGAAAGGTCTCTGATGGCAAACAAAAATTTAAATTATCTGCTCACAAGGTCTGAGCATGGTGAATTACCTCTAAATGCCTGAGAGAATTTATTGTAATCTTGTCTAAGAAACAGTTACAAATAAAACGTGCTCTTCTTTATTATGTTGCTCCAGTTTTTTACCACTGCATGCATTAATCCAAAGAGTTTTTAAAAGCATATTTTTATATAAAATCAAGATGCATAAATTATTTGTTGTCTACCTCATGCTTTGGTGAATAGATCTTATTCTGTGTATCCAGTGTTTCATTCTTCCTGCCCTTTTTATTTGGCCTGCAAATCTGGTTGACCTGGATTGAATACCTTAGAAATAATATGCTTCAAGAATAAGGAAGATTATAACAAGGGATGCTGAGTGTGAATAATGTAAATATTGCACAGCCCAATATATGTCCAGTATACTTTCACTTCTTTTTTTTTTTTAATCAGAAAAGCTAATGAAAGAATCCAAACCGTTAACTAATCCCTACTACTTGGGCAACATCTTCTATGATTAATGTATAGTTATATCCTGTTGAGTGGTTTGTAAACAATAGCTGCTTTTTTTGCTTAAGGGAGCATTACTAAGTACCTCAATTTCTAATTGATGTGGTTGATCTAATGAGTACAGTCAAAGTTCAGAGGCTTCAGCTCCTTTATGTCTTTGAATATTTTCTGGAAAAACATAGTTACCTCTTGTCTTTAAACTCTACCTCTCCTTTGGCATTTCTTAATGGAAAATGCAGTTTAAACATCAGAATATAAAGAAAGTGATTATGTTTAGTGAATATAAAATCATACTTGTCAGAGATGATTACAATAATCTGGAAGATTTTCGTATAAATACCTGATATTGTAGTGTTTTAAAAATATATCTTGCAGATTGTATGTTGAATTGATAACCAATATGTATGCATACAATGTCGTTGAACATTTATTAAGTGAGCAGCTATTTATTGCCAGGCACACATTGGGTATTAGAAATGGAAAGACACATAATAACCTTAGTCCAGTCCTTAAGCTTGGCAGAGAAACAGACTCACACACTTTTTTTTTCATAAGCTCATGATTCAAAAAGATGATATTCTATAGACATAGGATGAGCTTAGTATTGGAAGAGGCCGGAGGGAAAGTTGATGAATCAGTATATGACAGTGAGCCATGGAAGGTTTTAAATCAGAATGTGACAAAACTAGATGAATACTTGGAAATGAAGGATTTCTTGATGAAATTTCATTGCTTAGTAATGTGATATGACAAGACCTAAACTAGGGCAAAGGCTCTGGGAATAGAATGGAGGGAGCAAATTCAAGAAGGAGGTTTCAGGGGTCAAACCAGTAGATCTTAGAAACAGGATGAAAGGGGACCAACAGATGGCGTCATGGTTATGTTGCTGGACTCCCACAGCAGCATGTGGTCCGCATTCACGGCAGGATAAATAAACGAATGATGGTGCAGTCAAGACCCATAAAAATCCTGGCTCGTCAATTGACTGTGTCTGTTGAACAAAAGCGATTTTTACGTCTACACATGGTGTCCAGTGTGCATAAGAAAAGAAAAAGAGATTGCAGTTGGAGTACCGTGAGATGTATTTCCCAATTCTCTCAGTCATCCTCAGCCAACAAGAAATAGGTCCAGTGTCATTCTCTCTCACATGCCATGTATTTGACTCTTCACCTTGTTTCTTTGCCACATTAATTACTTTTGCTATTAATTCCGTACATAGTTTGGTTGTTGTGTGCTCTTTTGGAAGGCTTACTGTTTAAGATGATTGCCCCCTGGTGGCCTAATGAATACTTTCTTCATAAAATTAAAACTTATCATTTGTAAAGATTATATTAAGATGTATTACACAGAAAATCAAATCAGATATTTTACCTTGAAAAATCAAATGGCTTGGGGACAATAGGTTGTATAGTGGTTAAGGCACTGGACTCCCACATGGTCGACTGTGGTTCAAGTCCTAGACCTGGTGGCTTGAAACTCAGGCTAGGCACATGTATATGCATACCCAAAATCCTGAGAGGAATGAAGGAGAAAGGGTTGCAATATGGCCATCCCCGCTTAGGGGTGATTCTTTGCTTTCTGTTTCTCTGTCTCTTTCTGTCTCTCAGGTGAGTGCACATGCCCTATAGCAAAAATTTTCAAAAAAAAATTCAAATAGCTGATAGAGTATCATGTAAAATATACATGCTGAAAATATCAAAATATGTTCACCCAGTCTCTGATTTTATGGATAATATAGACAGATTCAAGCATTTAACATGATAGACTGTGGTGTAACACACAAAGTCAGATTTATCTGACACCAAGTCATCAAATATGGAGGAAGTATACATATTTCTTGGCCATATACTAAGAGAAAATGTCATTTCTAAGAATGCTATAGACTGTCTCTCAACATTTTATTAATTTCTATATATTCCAGTGAAATCATTGTGTCATTAAGAAATCATAAAAGTAAGGCTTGGGGGCAGCAGATGGCGTGGTGGTTAAGGCACTGGAATCCCATATGGTGACCATGGCTCCAGCCCTGGACCCAGTGACTTGAAAATCACGTGGGGCATATATGCCTATGTGCCCAAAATCTTGAGAGGAAAATGGAGGAGAAGGGATTACAGTGTGGTCACCCCCCCCCATCTCACTTTCCCTTTCTCTGTTTCTCTCTCCGTTGAGTTCACACACCCTATGGCAAAAACCTGAAATAATAATAATAATGATAATAATAATAATAATGAGGTCAAAACAAATTGATTTCTGGAGAAGATGCAAATACCTTCATTTTTGTATTTAGTTTTCATAAGATCCATTCTTGTACAGAAAACATTTGCTACAGGCATTAAATGGTTTTCTATACCTGCAACATTTTAAGGGGATAGATATGGTAGGATCTTTTAAATGAATGGTATGCAGAATGAATTCTGCGCATAGCAATTGATTTAGTGAATAAAGAAAGGAATTCTGGGTGGCAATGTGATTTTGGAAGTTGTTTACAGAACTTCTATTATTCCTCATTCCAAACTTGATTGTGTGTGTGTTTGTGTGTGTGTGTGTGTGTGTGTATACATATATATATATATTTTTTTTTTTTTTTAGTTTGAACAATTTGAAAGTACCATTGGGTTTTAACTGCCAAACCATCGAGCTGCCAAGCGTTTATGGAAAGTATGTGTTGAACACCATACATTTTTTAGGTAGGTAGAAATCTTTATAGTTTTTTTCATTAAAGAAGAATTAGAATAATTGGAGTTGCTTACAGTAGGAAAAGTTGTCGAGAAGAATATAGCCATATTCTCCTTCCTTCAAGTTCATTGCCACCAAATTTATTGTTAGGAAATCTTAAAAGAACTTCTGGCTAAATTTGAAGGATTTTCCTTAATGTGCTTTTATTTGCCCCATTCCCTCTATTTAGTGTCTTTTATTATTTGCGTAAGATGTCTACATCTGGTGTCCAGTCCATTCCTTACTAGTTCAGTCATTTCTCAGTGCTATAGATTCCTTTACCCATATGACGCACTAAGTGCACAGATTTGTGCCTACAACATAACAAATTATCACTCCTCTTCTTCACAAACATCACCTGTTTAATTGCTGTTTGTAGTTACAGAACTATGGATTTTCCACTTGCATGGGTTATTAAAGTCATTTAGTCCAACCCAAACTGTTTTACTTATATCCTCTCTATAACATCTCTCATTGATGTATACTGTGAGAGTTGATACTTACAAAATTAATTTATTTGCAAGTAGTATGTTAAACTGTTGACATACAAAACATACTACCTCTCAGAGTAAAAAGCTTTGAAAAGCATTATTATTGTTTGATTTATTTGTCTTTTTGGTGTTTTTCTTTTGTATCTTTATAGACTGTTGCTACCAGAAGCACCTCCAAAGAAATTCCTAACCTTGGGTTCCAAGTTCCGCTATAGCGGCAGAACGCAAGCCCAAACGAGAAGAGCCAGTGCATTGATAGATCGCCCAGCGCCTTACTTTGAACGCTCATCCAGCAAACGTTATACCATGTCTCGCAGCCTGGATGGAGGTAGGCGTCACTTTCTGGCCATTAATGATTGCTTGTAGCAACTGAAAAAGGGGTATGAAACCATCGTGACCTTTCAATAACCAAGTCCTCTAAGAATTAAATTTAGACCAAGATCCTCTTGGTTATTATGAATTGGAAAGCAGTTGTTGGTTTCTGACTGAGGCACATTTTTAAGCCCCTCCTCCCTTAATGCCTTTGTCAGTCTAGTGATTATTATTGGTAGATTTATGTAAAATTACATAAAAGAATGAACTTAGAGAATGAAGAGCATTGCCTTCAGAAGCTGGCACTCTGAATTTGAAGAAATTCTAAATATAGTAGTCACATACTTCATAAGTAATTTGGTTCTTTTCATGGCAAATCAAGTGATTAGCAGGTTGGTTGCCGACTATTTGTATCAGAAAGAAAACTGGAAGCTAAATTTATCTGTTTCTAAAAACATTTTATGAATAAAATGTGACCTTTCTCACTTAGCTGATAATAACTGGTAGAAAGGATGACATTCAACTGATAGAGCAAAGGGCTCTGAGTTAAATTCTCTTCGTTAATAATAATTACTACAGCAGATGGACTGAGGGGACATTGATGTGTGAGTGTTCTCTACTGTTAAGTCAAATGTGTGAGTCAAATGAGTGAAACAGAAGGATAATCACTCAAATAACCTTTTTAGAATAATAGTAATAGTTTTTAGTCAGCTGTTGCTTTACCAGACAGTACTGTATTACTCCCCATAGTAATATAGAGGTGTACTTTGTGCTACAAGGCATGCCAGCTGAAGTAATACTTAACTTAGGGTCCAAGGCACAGCCAGGCCTCTGTCTTCTAATTCAGAGCACTTGGAGATTAGTTATTTTGTAGGTGCAAATAAAAAGAGTTAGGAGTTTCTGACTTGTATGTATGATTTTAATAATAAGCAAAAACATTCATAACAATAAAAGTTACAAATTTGGGGTCATTCCCTCCCTATGTTTTTGCCTCTGTTCAAGACAGTCTCAGGTCTCCCTTCCTCTTTTCCCATACTCCCACGTGGTTGATGAGCCAGGTACTCCTTGACTAAAAGAGATTGTATTTTCCTAATAATACTTTATAGCAGTTTATAGAAGAAATCAAAATTGTATTATTAGTGCTGTGTTATGCACATTACTAGTGAAAGGGGAACAACAGTCCTCTGGAGTAGGTAAATCGAGAATGAAGTCTAGGCCCCTCCACCCTCTGTCTGTCCTGGCTGGCTGTCGGCGTCCACCTCAGGGTTTGGTGTTATTATGGAAGAAGCAGAAAAAATGAGACAAAGAGATAGAGTAGAAATGGACACAGGCAACCTGAGCCTAGGTAGCCCAAGCAACTTGTGCCGCCCAGATGCCCAGATGAACTGGACGTCTTTATAGTACAAGGAGACATTACACATGTATGTTTCATGATACTTCATAGATTGGTTGCCAGGTTACAGACAATAAGAAGCAATTAACAAATCTATGAGAGCTTAGTCATACCAGGCCAGGTGTATCCCTTGGTGATAATCCCATCAAGAGAAAATCTCATCTTCTTTTCTAATGCAGAGAAAACTAGCTGTTAGGTGTGGGGAAGGAGCTAAAGAATTTCTCTATAAGGAGTGCACCACCACACCCAGGGAAGTCTAAAGAACCTTTCAGATCCAGAGCAGGGATTGGATTTTACTAACTGGGGTCAAGATGTTTCTTGAAGTCCATCAGATGTGTCTGTTGGAACGCCCCTAGTAATTTCCACCCTTGCTCTGTCTGCAGCCAAGGTCAGGGAAAGACAAGTTACAAGGTTCTGCCAAACCCCAAAAGAGCAGGTGGTGTTTGCTCAGAGCATGTCCCCACACCTCAGATTCTCTCTCTTAAACGTGTCCCCACAGCTGGCAAATGGTTTTACTCTCTGGGTCTTGGTTTTAGTCATCTGTAAAATGGAAGCAAGGGTAGCTTCGACTTATTCCAGTAGGATTATTACAAAGAGTAAATAACATAAAAGAGGAGATTTCAAAAAGTTTATGGAAAGTGGAATTAAAATGTAAGTTTATTTGGGTGCAAAAAAAATTAACGTATGCCTTTTCCATGAACTTTTTGAGGACCCCTCCTTATACGTGAAAGCACTTTTACTATAGATGTAATTTCAAACATCTCAATAATTATATTGATAAATATTCTTCATAGGTTTTTGTGACCTGGCTTGGGAATTTAAATGCCATCTTGTATCTTCTAAGAGATTGCAAAAGCCCACTCTTTGGAATAAAATACTAGTTAGAATTGTTTTTGAAATAAATTAAGATACTGAAGTATCCACATTCACATTGAAATTTTTCTTTCTGTTTTGTTCCATTTACTTGTCTTTTTCCTTTGGAGAACTTCTGCTAACTATTTGTATATTCTGTAAATCAGTACTTAAGGAAGTTTTGTAGAATAGCACCTTTTTCCCTAAATGTCATCCACTTTGTTCAATGATATGCACCCAAGGAAACACATTTGTTGTGATGATTGTTTTTGTCATGACCTTTTTGTGATAATGACTGCTAAGAAGACAGAAGACAATTGTGAAATCAATGTACTAATATCATGCTATCTCTTCCTCTCTGCCCAAAAGTGATGTTAGTATGTGTTGTCTTTCACTCTTGGTGGTGGTCCTGCCAATTCTAGTATGTTTTCTGCTGCTGCTGAGCTGGGCACTATGACTGCATGTTGGGGCATAAACTGCTTTTTGCCAAGTTGCATCTTTCATAGACCAGCCTACCTGGTCCATTAGGAAACTGACTCATAGGAGCTTTCTCATCAGTATAAAGAGATATAAAATATCTTGGTGAAGCTATTTAGGTGAAGTGGTTTAGCTATTAAAAGGATTTGAGAAAGGATTTCACTTCAGAATCCTTTTATTTATGTTTTAGAATTCTTAAACTATGAATGCAGAGTATATTTTGTCTGTGATTAGTGGCTGTATTTCAAAAGCAGTATTTATAAGTTTTAATAGATTTTGTGATATCTAAAACCTAACATAATGAGTACCATATTTTCAAATTTAATTGAATTAAGCATCTCTTTCACAAAGATATTTTAGCTGGGATGAAAGGCTCTTTCATATATCTCTTGTGTTTGCATGCTTCGCGTTTGCATGAATTTCATTCAGCAACATTTGTCTTCCCAGAATATTAGTGAGGAATGAATGTTTATGCATATCATGGTAGTCTATTCAAAATGCAGTAGAAATTAAAACATTTCTATTGGAACATACACTTTAGTTGAACAGAATTGCCATATGAATTTTACAGTCTTTGCCAAGATGGTTAATTTTCATTGTTATCCATGGGACTTTTATAAGACTGAAAGACTCCTCAATGTTAATAATAACAATAATAAAAACAATTCAGTGGTCCTTGGTGAATGGCATTTCCAAAGATATGTTCAAGATCAGGGACCAGCAGTTGGCGTAATCGCTATGTCGCTGGACTCTCATGTAGTCAACCACGGTTCAAGTCCCAGACCTGGTGGCTTAAACTCACACCGGGCACGTGTGTGTGCATGCCCAAGATCCTGAGAAGGGACTGCAGCGTGACCATCCCCCCTAGAGGGGGGGTGATTTCTCGCTTTCTGTCTCTCTGTCTCTGTCTTTCTGGTGAGCACACGCACCCTATAGCAAAAACCTCTCAAAAAACAGTAACAAAAAAGATATGTTCAAGATCAAGTGTATTAAGTTAAGTGTCTACTGCAAATACTGCTTATTAGTTGTAGAACTTGCCATTAGGTGCCCAGTGCTGGTGCCCTGCCATTCAAGGGGTAACAAACTCGGCAGCAGCTCAGCCTCAGCTTCCATCCTTCCACTCACGTCCACCCTCATACGCTCTCTCACCAGAGAGCCTGACAATGGATGAAAATTATTCTGCCAGAATACAGACATGAGTATTCAAATAAGTTTGAAAACAGTGGCTTAGGAAATGCAGAAAGACGAGTGTATGGTAGTGCTTAGATGAAGGTACCTGCACTGCTGATTCCATGATGATATGTTTTGGTGTTTTGTTTTGTTTTTCCCAGTAATGGGAAAACTGGTGTTGTGCATCTGTCTTCCGACTTAACTATTTCAGATTTTTTTTTCTCCAATTGTATTTGCTTTTAGCATCAGTGAATGAAAACCATGAAATATACATGAAGGATTCTGTGTCTGCTGCAGAGGTTGGTACTGGCCAGTACGCCACAACAAAGGGCATCTCTCAGACCAACTTGATCACCACTGTGACTCCGGAGAAAAAGGCCGAGGAGGAGCGGGACGAGGAAGAGGACAAACGGAGAAAGGCAGAGGAAGCCACACCTGTCTCCGCGATCCGGCACGAGGGAAAGGTACAGCTCCCAGGCTGCCTCCTAGAGCTGGCTCCAGCTTTTAAGAGCGATTAAAAAATTCTGAAGATGTAAACCAGGAATATGTTAAGACTTAGGGTCATTCCTATTTTCAGCACTAGTCACATTCATGTATCCATTTTTAAATTATAATTCTTGTTTCAACGTTTTTTTCCTATGAAAGTTTCTTTTTTAACTTTTGGGAATTTTTTTATTTTAACAACTGTGTGCTATACGAGACTTTCAACAGCTGTCCTGCATGTATATTTTACAAATACTTTGGGTGGTGTTTTATACTTTGCTGTTTGGGATCACATTTCAGAATTGTCACGAAAGCTATTTAATTGTTTCTGGCCCCATTCTCCTACCCAAGTACAGCATATTTTTCTAGATAAACAGTAACCACAGTGCCATTCTTCCTACCACACATACGCTGAGTGGCCCTAGCTTGAGTGTTTATACGCCATTTTCTTTTTTAGAATAATTTGAACAGCAAAGTTGTGAGTGGCCTTATTTGGAAAAGTGATACTAAACCGTGATATTAAGGCAGAAGCTTACAGTGAAACACAAAAAATTAATTTGGCACTAGTTTCTCCAGGTGTTTTATTCATTAATTTTTAATGGCATTAGTTTCACCCTTCTTTTTCAACATTATTTTAAAACATGATGTTAATTCGTAATGATCCAGCCCTATATAGCAATTTTAAGGTCAAAAAACACATTGAGAGGTTTCCATATAATAGTAATGGAAAAGCAGAGTGATTCATGGAATGTTCAGAGTACCGGATGAGAAGAAACAGCATAACAAAAATGCTTGTATAACCTACAGATTGTCCAAAAATTTGAGTAAGCTTGGCCCACCAGTGCTCTTTTGCATGTGGGCTCTTCAAATATGGATTTATGTGATGGGGGCCACTACCTGAGACTATTCAGAAAAGTGTTCCCTTTGGCAAGAATATAGCAGTAACATCTTGATAGATCAAAAAGTAAATTTTTGTTATATGATCATTTTCCAAGTGACTCAATTCTTTTTTTTTTTTTCTTTTAGGAATAAACCTATTTATAAGGGGGCATGAAAAAGTTTGTTTAATGTGAGTCTGTTTTGGTGCAGAACATTTTGAAATATGTAGAGATTTTTTTTTTCATAATATTCTCTTTCCATACACTTTTTTGAAGAGCCCATGTATCTGACAAATACGAAAAAATAAGCACAGGGATCACATTTGGCTGGTGTTTTCTGCTACAGTGTGCTCTGTTCTGAATTCATTTTTACACTCTTCCTGCCAATTACGTCAAGGCAGGCTTTCAAAAGGACGTAGAAGAAGGCACTCCTGCAAAATCAGTATGTGGCTCTGATACTTAGTCAGTACAAAATATCTTGAAGTCATCCATGCCAATATACGATTCTCATAAATATGTTAATACCTTTTGGTGGCATGTAAAAGTAAATGATTTTTAGTCTGCACCCCAAATAGGTCTAGGCACAGTCACTGTATTCTATTGTAAAAGACCACCACGTTTATGTAGAATGTAGCACTGAAATGTCCTCACTTTGTGCCATTTAGGCTAGGGGGAAGTGAAAAGGCAGCATGACTCCCCTCATCATCTGAGTCTCTGGGATGCCAGGACGTTGAATAGAAAACCTTCAGGAGAGCTGTACCTGTGATCATGCATGTGCACGGGTGATACCTGTCTGGCTAGTTTATAAAAACCACTTTAATAAGCATCATAAAGATTAAACTTTTGTTATTCTTCCTCATCTTCCAAAAGTGGCATAGAAGGTCACGTTTTTTTTTAACCAACATGAAAATGTGTTACTGAAAATTGTTCTTAAAAGACAGCCCCCAGATTGCCTGGAGAGGAGGCATGTGTCTCAGGCTGGTGGGGTCCACCAGTGACTGGGCAGCCTCTCCCTGCTGAAGGACAGTTGTCTTCCATACAGAAGGCAGCTTGTCATTTTTACCTTATTCTTAGTCAAATGAGATTTGTGCAGGTTCTAGTTTAAAACACAATGTTTATTGTCAAATGTGAGTGTGTGGGAAAAGACACACATAGTCTCATAGTGAAAAGAGACACTCCTCATGCACGTATTTCTAGGGTCTAATTTTATTTGTGCATTCTCTTTCCCAAGATCCTGAGAAGGGACTGCAGCGTGACCATCCCCCCTAGAGGGGGGGTGATTTCTCGCTTTCTGTCTCTCTGTCTCTGTCTTTCTGGTGAGCACACGCACCCTATAGCAAAAACCTCTCAAAAAACAGTAACAAAAAAGATATGTTCAAGATCAAGTGTATTAAGTTAAGTGTCTACTGCAAATACTGCTTATTAGTTGTAGAACTTGCCATTAGGTGCCCAGTGCTGGTGCCCTGCCATTCAAGGGGTAACAAACTCGGCAGCAGCTCAGCCTCAGCTTCCATCCTTCCACTCACGTCCACCCTCATACGCTCTCTCACCAGAGAGCCTGACAATGGATGAAAATTATTCTGCCAGAATACAGACATGAGTATTCAAATAAGTTTGAAAACAGTGGCTTAGGAAATGCAGAAAGACGAGTGTATGGTAGTGCTTAGATGAAGGTACCTGCACTGCTGATTCCATGATGATATGTTTTGGTGTTTTGTTTTGTTTTTCCCAGTAATGGGAAAACTGGTGTTGTGCATCTGTCTTCCGACTTAACTATTTCAGATTTTTTTTTCTCCAATTGTATTTGCTTTTAGCATCAGTGAATGAAAACCATGAAATATACATGAAGGATTCTGTGTCTGCTGCAGAGGTTGGTACTGGCCAGTACGCCACAACAAAGGGCATCTCTCAGACCAACTTGATCACCACTGTGACTCCGGAGAAAAAGGCCGAGGAGGAGCGGGACGAGGAAGAGGACAAACGGAGAAAGGCAGAGGAAGCCACACCTGTCTCCGCGATCCGGCACGAGGGAAAGGTACAGCTCCCAGGCTGCCTCCTAGAGCTGGCTCCAGCTTTTAAGAGCGATTAAAAAATTCTGAAGATGTAAACCAGGAATATGTTAAGACTTAGGGTCATTCCTATTTTCAGCACTAGTCACATTCATGTATCCATTTTTAAATTATAATTCTTGTTTCAACGTTTTTTTCCTATGAAAGTTTCTTTTTTAACTTTTGGGAATTTTTTTATTTTAACAACTGTGTGCTATACGAGACTTTCAACAGCTGTCCTGCATGTATATTTTACAAATACTTTGGGTGGTGTTTTATACTTTGCTGTTTGGGATCACATTTCAGAATTGTCACGAAAGCTATTTAATTGTTTCTGGCCCCATTCTCCTACCCAAGTACAGCATATTTTTCTAGATAAACAGTAACCACAGTGCCATTCTTCCTACCACACATACGCTGAGTGGCCCTAGCTTGAGTGTTTATACGCCATTTTCTTTTTTAGAATAATTTGAACAGCAAAGTTGTGAGTGGCCTTATTTGGAAAAGTGATACTAAACCGTGATATTAAGGCAGAAGCTTACAGTGAAACACAAAAAATTAATTTGGCACTAGTTTCTCCAGGTGTTTTATTCATTAATTTTTAATGGCATTAGTTTCACCCTTCTTTTTCAACATTATTTTAAAACATGATGTTAATTCGTAATGATCCAGCCCTATATAGCAATTTTAAGGTCAAAAAACACATTGAGAGGTTTCCATATAATAGTAATGGAAAAGCAGAGTGATTCATGGAATGTTCAGAGTACCGGATGAGAAGAAACAGCATAACAAAAATGCTTGTATAACCTACAGATTGTCCAAAAATTTGAGTAAGCTTGGCCCACCAGTGCTCTTTTGCATGTGGGCTCTTCAAATATGGATTTATGTGATGGGGGCCACTACCTGAGACTATTCAGAAAAGTGTTCCCTTTGGCAAGAATATAGCAGTAACATCTTGATAGATCAAAAAGTAAATTTTTGTTATATGATCATTTTCCAAGTGACTCAATTCTTTTTTTTTTTTTCTTTTAGGAATAAACCTATTTATAAGGGGGCATGAAAAAGTTTGTTTAATGTGAGTCTGTTTTGGTGCAGAACATTTTGAAATATGTAGAGATTTTTTTTTTCATAATATTCTCTTTCCATACACTTTTTTGAAGAGCCCATGTATCTGACAAATACGAAAAAATAAGCACAGGGATCACATTTGGCTGGTGTTTTCTGCTACAGTGTGCTCTGTTCTGAATTCATTTTTACACTCTTCCTGCCAATTACGTCAAGGCAGGCTTTCAAAAGGACGTAGAAGAAGGCACTCCTGCAAAATCAGTATGTGGCTCTGATACTTAGTCAGTACAAAATATCTTGAAGTCATCCATGCCAATATACGATTCTCATAAATATGTTAATACCTTTTGGTGGCATGTAAAAGTAAATGATTTTTAGTCTGCACCCCAAATAGGTCTAGGCACAGTCACTGTATTCTATTGTAAAAGACCACCACGTTTATGTAGAATGTAGCACTGAAATGTCCTCACTTTGTGCCATTTAGGCTAGGGGGAAGTGAAAAGGCAGCATGACTCCCCTCATCATCTGAGTCTCTGGGATGCCAGGACGTTGAATAGAAAACCTTCAGGAGAGCTGTACCTGTGATCATGCATGTGCACGGGTGATACCTGTCTGGCTAGTTTATAAAAACCACTTTAATAAGCATCATAAAGATTAAACTTTTGTTATTCTTCCTCATCTTCCAAAAGTGGCATAGAAGGTCACGTTTTTTTTTAACCGATTAGCTAACCATCACAAAGCAGGCTGGGTAATTTCCATGCTATCAGGTCGCTAGGCAAAACACACACACACACACGCACACGCCATGCACGCATGCACACACACAGCCACAGCAGTAGTCTGATTATGTGACCTCGTTTTGAACTTCCCCAGCTGTAGCAGCTCCTGTGTTCTGCCCAGGTCTCCCTTGGGGTTTGCTTTCTCTCCTTTCCCACGTTGCTCAGCAGCCTCTCCAGCACCTGCAGAGGAAGCTGGCATTTGGTCCTGCAGACCAACAGGGCCCAGGGAGAATGGGCACAAGCTTCACTTGCCTCGTAAAAGCTGGAGCTCACTGGGGAGAGTGTTCTTTGGGAATGCCTGCTTTTGTCGTTGCAGCAAGGATTTGTCCAGAGGTAGACATGTGCCATTTATCTGGCAAGTAAAACCAGAAGGCTGGGAAATTGTATCATTCAATTATTTACGGACCACAAAAAATAGAAAGTAAACACTTGCATACCATATTACAAAAAAACACATTCTTTTCACTAGTCAGTTTGTTGAAACCACTAATTAGAGTTGAAGCTCCACAGAGCATCCTCTAGGAGCCACAGTAGAAGAATTTTCAAAGGAACCTCAATTCTTGTGTGGAGTCAGAGATCCTGAAATGCTCACTGTTGAATTGCCTGATTGTGACTGCTTATCAGATAGGAGTGGGGCCAGAAACTTCTTGATTTAGAAACTCAGTTATTTCAAATGTAATTGGATGTAAGAAAGAAGTAATGCTAGAGTGTTTGCTTTTTTTTTTTTTAATAATCAAAATTTGGATTGGATTTCATTTTCATTTTCATCCAGCCGAACATCTATTACCTGGAGATCAGGAGAAGGTTATTGAAAGTCTTGAATATAAGTTACCAAAGAGTAATGTTTGGTCTCAAAACTCTACAACGGTCTAGAGTTGCTGGTCTAAAGTGAAATTGTTCTGATCATGTGAAACATGAACACTTTGGGATTGCCCACAAATAGCTTCTGTTCTGACTTTTAAAAATCCCACCCTGTATCAAATGGCCTAATGGGAGAACCGTGGCCATTCGTGGCAACATTGGCATGCAGCTTGAATACTTTAAAATTCATGAGCAACCCTAGTGCTAAAATTCTTGTTTTACAATTTTATGTTGATTCCCATAAGAAAATTAACTAATTGCAGTTTTCTTTTTGTCCTTTTGCACCTCTGTTTGCTGCTTTCTGTCTCTCTCTGTCTCTTTCACATCAGTCACCTGGGCTTGGCACTGACTCATGTCCCCTGTCACCCCCATCAACCCATTGTGCCCCAGCATCTCCCACGGCGCTCCGTAGGAGGTGCAAGGAGAATGAACGGCAAGCACCGCCCGGAGCTGAGCACATGCACGCAGAATCCTCCCTGGACTCTGACAGCCAGGGGAAGCCTTACTTAGGGGAGCAAGATGTAGCTTTTAGCTACAGACAGCAAACCGGCAAGGGGACCACCCTGTTTTCCTTCTCCTTGCAGCTCCCGGAGTCATTTCCCTCTCTCCTAGATGACGATGGGTACCTCTCTTTCCCCAACCTTTCTGAAACCAACCTCCTGCCCCAGAGCTTGCAGCATTACCTCCCGATCCGCTCGCCCTCCCTTGTGCCTTGTTTCCTCTTCATCTTTTTCTTCCTGCTGTCCGCCTCCTTCTCAGTGCCATATGCCCTCACTCTCTCCTTCCCTCTGGCTCTGTGTCTCTGCTACCTGGAGCCCAAGGCGGCCTCCTTGAGCGCCTCCCTAGACCATGACCCGAGTGACAGTTCAGAGGAAGAGGTGTGTACCTCGGCATGGAACACACGTCCCCTCGTGTTCCGTGCTTCAGTCTGAAACAGTGTTAGCCGGCTGCTGCGATAGTAGTCCTACTTTCAGAGCCTCATTTATTGTCTGTGCCAATCTGTTGAGGTTTTTGTTGGTGGGGGGGGGAGTCCAACCCGGGCCCCAGGGTTAGGCACAACACCATGTGGATGTAGCAGTCTGAGCCCGACCTGGAGTCGCTCTGCTACCCACTAGCTCTACGTGGGGTGAAGGTCTCAGTTGTACACAGCCATGAACTGTGGAAAAGATCAGGGCTAAGGTAAAGGTTCTGTTCAGTTACCGTTTGATAAGGGCAGTCACATCGAAGACCGATATGTAGCTTTCGACCTAAGTGATCTGATACTCCAGTAGAGGTGAGAGAGCGCTCCACCAAGGGAAGGGCGCCTCATCATCTGGGTAGCTTTCCAACACTGCAAGGGCGTCTCCACCCTGGAGCTAAGGGAATGCCCACTGCTCCACCCTGGAGCTAAGGGATTGCCATCGCTGGACTGCCACTGTTACTCCTGGGGATGGAGCAGATCCCACACTGTGTGGGGTCAAAAAGAATGTCTTGAGCAGTTTAAAACACATGACCTCAAGCCATTGGTAGGACCAGGATCTGCTGTGTGCAGTGCTGCGGTGTCCCAAACCAACCACGAGACAACACATTTGAGGTTTCTGTAGGACACAGAAACAGGCTGAAATTTCATCAGGCCTGGTGATGCCAGAGCACATATCAGATGTGGAGATTCTTTCAACTCCAGCATGAGCCCAAAAAATCCCCACATTTTGACAGTGGGGTTAGGTTGATGAAGGTGGAGAGGCCTCTATGGCTCCCAGCCAGACCTGAGTCTAATGGAGAAGACTCTGAGCCTTTGGCCTCCATCCTGGAAGGCACACCACTGCCCCTGCCCTCCCGGCTTTTGTCTAAACAATTGGCTGATTGACGCCATAGCCAATCATTTTTCCTCTTAATGGGCTCCTCTCCCACCCTACCACACCCTATGAACAGCACAGCAGTTTCCCTTTCTCCTGGCTTCAAATAGAGCATAGAGGAAAAGGACAGAAGTTGCCACTAGGGGAGCTGGCTGTCATGGACCATCCTGCCCACACCTCTCCCCAGGTTGCCGCCAGCTCTCCTGTTCCCACAAAGCAAGGCCATGTAAGCAGGAGACAAGCCCATCACTCCTAACATTTAAGAGGGAGAAAAAAAAAAATCACAAATCAAAGCAACACCAAAAAAGGAAAGTGAGAATGTTCAGTTCTGTGCTCAGCTAGAAAGTCAGAGTGTAAGCTGCTCCTGTGAGGTACAGAATTGAGAGGTGTGTAAGTATCTATATTTAGTGGTTCCAGGACCAGTGCATTGCAGCCAAAAGAAAAAGTGAATAGTCTCACAAATGTTTTAAATAAAAGTCTAGGCTTGTTCATTAACACTGCGTAAGAGTACTTTTCAGGGTTCTTGGGTTGTATATTTCTGTTAGCTAGATCCAACAGAGGTAGTTACACTTAGAAAATCTATTGAGAACTACTATCAATTCTAGGTTTTACTATCACCTATTTCTTATAGTGTCAATATTGTCGGATAGTGTAAGACTAGAACATGCTGCAGTTAACACAAAATTATCATCAAAGACCTTTTATCGTAGAGATTTATTTTTCTGTCAGCAGTAGATTTAGTCATCAAGCTAACAAAGAAAAAGAGATTGCTGTTTGAGGCTTTTCTAAATTCTGAATAACTGCTTGAACCTCTATATAGACAACCACACAGATCTTGTGCCTAATCCAGGGTATACATCTCGTTGTAATCAGTGCATGAGAATTAATGTTAAACTTGGGCATGTCTGCATTACATCAGCAAAACAAATCACAGCAGTTAATTGTTGCAAGCTAGCGAATGCATGATTGGATCTTCCCAGTCATAACTGTCCTTGCTGTTGCAAACCTCTGACCACCGAAGACTCCTCCACCCTCAACTCCAGCCTGTACTACCAGGCTTTGTAGTTGGCCATCTGTTCAGTGTTGTCTCTGGACCCAAATGTTAAGAGCTGTGCATTCTAGTTCAGGCTGAGCCAGAGAACTCATATTTAGGTCATTCCGTTAAAAAAAAAAAAATGGCTAGCTGCTTACATGGCCTGTTTTATGCTGTAGGCCTGAAGCACTTTGGCAGCTAAACCAGGTGACTTCTTAACATACAGTTCAGCTCTGTCACTTTCATTTTGCAAAATCAGGATGGTTATAATTCTTTTTAAATGTTTTATCATCACTGCTTACATTTCTCAGAAGTAATAGTGACTTAATTAGTCCCAGTCTTTTTCAAGACTGAAGCCCAGTATAGAAAGTCTTAATCATCTAAACTAGAAAACTGTTGGCCAATCATTTCTTTTCTTTTGCACTTTCAGAATGATAAAATCAAAGGGGCAAAATATCAAATTATCTATTTTTTAAAGAATTATTTTAACTTTATTTATTATTATATCATTATTATTTTTCAGTTTGATCAGAGAGAGACAGAGAGAGAGAGAGAGAGGAAGTGAGAAAGCAAGCCACCAGGTCCAAGACTTGAACCGTGGTCGGCCATGTGGGAGTCCAGTGCCTTTAACCACCATGCCACTTGCCGGCCCCTCAAATTATCTATTAAAAAACATAAGATGAGGGCCAGCAGGTGGTGGGGTAGTTAAGGTGCTGGATCCCACATGGCTAACTCCACAGCTCAAGTCCCAGACCCAGCAGCCTGAAAAACATACTGGGCACATGTACAGGTGTGCTCAAAATCCTGAGAGAAGAATGGAGGAGAATGGATTGCAGTGTGGTCATCCCTGCTGGGGTGGGAGGGGAGTGATTTCTTACTTTCCTTCTCTGTCTTTCTCTCTCTCGTTCAGGTGAGCACACACACCCTATAGTAAAAATTTTAAAAATAGGTTAATTAATAAGATTCATTTAGTTCATAACTTAGTACCATAAAATGTAATTACATATGAATTTCTGAGTAATTTTTTGATAATGCAAAAAAATGAATTCAAAACTGGAAGAAAAATTAATTGATCAACTATAATGTTTTAAGTTATGCAAACATAGTATTATATGATAGTTCATAATGTGCTATACATTTGCAGTTTTGTGTAGTCCTAGTACATTATATAAGTGACAGTTGTTCTAAAAGCTGCTTTATTCAGCCTTTATCTCTTTAGTTTTTAGCTATTTATTGAGCAGGCATTATGCTGTTGACTTACGCCTAGGTGCTGAGTAAGCAGTTGAGAGAGTTTAGATATAGCCTAGGCTATTTATTTATAGTTAGGAAAAATAGTAGTAATAATTTTGTAATATGATATTAAGATAACATATAATTATCTTAAGCATTTTTTAACTATGTGTGTCAGATATTACATAATTATATATATCATTACCTGATACAATCAGGTTGGCTATTTTCTTATTTTACAAAAAGGAAACACAGATTAGAACATGAAATGTGCCCAGTGTGTCTCAGATTTGAACAGCAAAGATTTCATATCATGTCAGTCTGACATCAGACCCCTCGCTCTCAATTCCAACTGTACTCTAATGCTAAGATACTTATTGAGGTATGTTTTAAAACTGTAAGAGAAATCATCTATGTAGGAGGAGAAATACTGTGAAGAATTTGAAAGTATTTGACGTGACTAATTAAGACTCTAAGCACAGATCACTCTTATTTATTCTTGACAGCCTAAGATCTTTGAATTATTTTGTACACTTGAACAAATAACCTATCTCTTTCTTGCTAATTCAAACTGGCCTTTCTCAGAGCTGTCAGTTGGTGAAGCCATGCTAATACCATAGCAATCATCACCCTTGTAAAGAAATTAATAACCATCCCCTTCCCCCAGTGTCACCCAAGGCAGTCAGGTCATGGAAGTGTGGCAACATGCTTCCTTTTCTGACCTATAGAAACTATTTTCTGTTTAGGTCTGGCAGCAAGTCTGCCCAGATGGCATCCCTGGACACATGTGACAAGTATCCATCCCAGCTCTTTTTATTTAGGAATACTTAAAATGAAAGCCCGGATAATTGCCACCAAATCAACTTAGCCAGTTATGTCATTTAGAAACAACACTCCCAGTCATCCTATCTTGACATTTCTTTTTCTTTGAAGTAAAGTGATTATTTTAAGAAGCAGATTCGGTTTCAGACCTCCAATTTTAGTTTTCAAAATATTAATCACAAATTTTTGATCGAGAGAATTTTATCAATGATTAGTTGATATTTGTAGAAGGAAAGTCAGTTACGATTATATTAGGTCGTTTAGGTGTCCATGGCTCTACTCTATTCAAGAGAAAATAGTTTTTGTTTTAAATTGTTAAATCCCTGTGAAACAGATTAAAAGCCAGTCTGAACATTACTATTCTTCTCTGAAAACCTAGGCTCTGTCAAATGCTGTGCTTTGTTTTATTTGTTTCCAAGTAGATGCCTCTCTATATATATCTTGTCTTTTTATTTTCAATTTTTTTGGCTTCATTTGAATCATATTTTTAGAATTTTTAGAACAAGATGTTTAAATACATACTTTGATATACCTCTTTATATTAGAGGGTGGACAAAATAAACATAACATACAGTCTTTAAAAATATCTAGTTAGCAGTGCTACTTGAAAATTGAGCTACATTTTTCATATACAAAACATATGCCTGTGAGTCACTGGCATGTGCTTTTTATAATTAATAGGTAATGCAGACAGCCTGGTGGTCATAAATGCTATAAATTATCAAAATGGTATAAATGAGGGGCTGAAAGTCCAGTGACTGTTACAGTAGCTTTTTATGTAAATTGGTGTTTTCATTTACCTTTCAAATGTGACACATTACTGGAAGTATAGCTAGAGATATCTTTTCATCAGTTTTACTTGCATTAGATAGGTTTAGACCTTTTTGGGTGTTTTAGTATGAGGGGGAGGGGGAAAGTGACAAATTGGTCTTCCTACGACCTAGAACCAGGCAAGTGGGTTTGGCCAGTGCAGTTCCTGCAGTTCCTGCAGACTGTGCGCCTCGGGTCTTCCTCTGAGTCCACTCTGTTATGACACCTAGCTCTGGCCCTTCTTTTGCTTTTGCTTGGACCTGCATTCTCACGGGAAGGTAGAATGATACAGATCACAGAGAAAGAAAGTGAGTTGTTGGATCTGTGCTGAACCTTATTTAACCAGCTGGATTTATTTTCTGTCTCTGCCTCCCTCCTGGAACCTGATCACTTCTGTGGTCAACAGACTGACAGTGAGCGGACAGACACGGCAGCCGATGGGGAAACCACTGCCACCGAGGTTGGTATCATAACGAGTTGGTGTCATTGATGGACAGAAATGCTGGTGGGGAAGCTTGGCATTTGAGAGCTCCACATACTAGTTTTCAGAGTAGAGATATAGTCTATCTTGAACAGGGGGAGTTAAATATGTAGTATACTGCCTAGACCATTGGTTCTCAAACACTGGCCTGCATCAGAATTACCGGGGGGTGGGGGGTGGTGGTGGTGGTGGTGGTGTCCAGACTCATGTTTGTCGTTCAGTAGGGCTGGGATGGGACTCAGAAAGTTTTCTTTCCAGCAGGTGCCAGGGTGCTTTTGACTCTGTTAATCTATCTTAGAATCATATTTAAGAACCACTTGCCTATATCATTGATACTTACTTTTTATTTTCTTGTTTAGGTTTTTGTCATAGAGCACACGCACTCACCTAAGAGAGACAGAGAGAGAGAGACAGAGAGGGGAAGTGAAGAATTACCCCTCAAGTAGATGGCCACACCACAATCCCTTCTCTATTCTTGGTCTCAGGATTTTGGGCATGCGCACACTCGCCTGCCCTGATTTTCAAGCTGTCAGGTGTAGGCTCGAACCATGCTCAGCTATGTGGGAGTCCAGCACCTTAACTACCACAGGTGGTGACCTGCTGGCCTCCAGTTAATATTCTGTTCAAAAGAAAGTATTCACCTGTCCCGAATAAGAGGTTATTGATGTATGATAGCCATGGACAGCAGGGAGAAGAGTCACAGTTTAATGATAGCCTATTGGCTATATATAGATACCTTTTAAAATCACAATTGGTCCAGTAACACTTGTTAAAATAATACAAGGGTGCTTCAAAAGTTCATGGAAAAAAAGCCAGGCATAGTTTTTTTTTTTTTTATAATACTCATTTCTTATTCATTTTTTGAAGACCCTTTATACTTCTCTTAACTCATTTTGTAACTTTATATAGTCTAGGTTATTCATAGGAAATGAATTATCTAAGGAAAAGAAAATTAGCAAATTACTATTAGTACTTTGTTGAAAAATATGTAATCATATTGAACTGTGCTAAGAGGAATGCTCTTCTATTTCTCCTTTATTCTTTAGAACACATTAAATATGAATGCATCTATATGTGTGTGACTTCTGTTGTTTTTTTCAAAACTTCTCTAACAATAATGAATTAAAATTGCTGTAGAAACAATATTTATCCATGATGATGGAAGTAAATATGTTTATTTCCTGAAGTGCTAGTAAAATTTAGCTTTTTATTTTAATGTTTATTTTAAATCATAACATTATTTTTTACATCATCCAATCATAATAATATTTTCTAGTTGGTATCCTGAAAGAACTAAAATTGTAAGTGGTGTATATATATCACCTCATTGAAAATATCTTCAAAAAATATTTCCTAATGGTATTTTATTGGGTTTTTTCCTTTGGAATGCTAGAGTTCAAAGCTTGAAACTCTTAATTTTTAACGTTAAAGATAATACTTCATTGTAAAAGTATTATCCAAATTTTTGTAACAACCACATACGAAACTTACAGGTTGATAATTTTCTATGCCAAATATAAAAAAAAACTACATCTTGATTTTGTGAGAAGTAGCTACATGTTAGTACATTTGATAAATTCCATTGGAATGCTAACATGTGCTATAAATGAAAGAGATTTTAACAATTCTTTAAATTTCTATAGTTTTTAAATTTCTTACATAACATTTAAAGCATGTTAGGAAATACATGTAACATAGGTAGATTGTGAGATTTAAAAATAGATAGCTATGAACCCACCAACATAAGAATTAGCATGACACCAGTACCATGTTAAAGTTTTCGTGGGTTCTGTACCATTTTTTCAAGCACTTTCTCTTCTCTTGAGATGGTCAGCTTAGTGTGGAGTCTGTAGAGTAGGCAGTTTTGTCTGCTTTGGCAGATTAGAAAACCTAGACCCAGATTGACTTACTTAAGGCCACTTGCTTGGGTGTGACTTTCTCCCCTGTTATTCCTCTTTGGGTCTTTTCTGGCAACCCAGGGCAAAAGCCCAAGCCCTTGGCTAGAGAGCCAGACACGGTAAGAAACAGCTTTACCGGCACACGTACCTTGTCCTACTTACCTAATTCTTTGTACTCACATACCACTCCAAGGACTAGACAGGTGCTTGAAACTAGAAAAGTAAGGATAATTAAGTGGCAACAGGATGAATCTATTGCATTTTTTTAATTCAAAAATTACCCTATCTAGGGACCAGCAGTTAGCATAATGGCTATGTCGCTGGACTCCCACATAGTCGACCATGGTTCAAGTCCTAGACCTGGCGGCTTAAACTAACGCTGGGCGCTTGTACGTGCATGCCCAAGATCCCAAGAAGAGAATGAAGGAGAAGGGATTGCGGCATGGCCATCCACCCTGGGGGGTGATTTCTCGCTTCCTAGCGAAAACCTCTCAAAAAAAAAAAAAATTCCCTATCTACATTTTAAAGAGATGATGGCAATTTTGACAGTTGTTGCTTTCTTTTCTTTCTTTGTAGCTTTCAAACATTTTTAACTTAGAGATTTTTGGTATAGGGCACATGCCCTCACCAGAGACACAGAGACAAAGAGACTGAAAGCGAGAAATTACTCCCCAGAGGTTGTAGCCATGCCACATTCCCTCCTTCTCCATTCTCCTCTGATGATTTTGGGCACACATGCAAACACACCCAGACATTCCTAGTGTGAGTTTCAAGCCACAGGGTCCAGGACTCAAACTACAGTCAGCCATGTGGGAATCGAGCAACATAGCCATTATGCCATCAGCTGATCCCCCATAGCCATTTTCTCTCTTAAATGTGTATACAAGTTCAAAAAAATGAGGTTCCAAGAAATTTGAAAACGTGAGAATCTCTGTGTTAAATTCTTTGAGCCCCAGTTCCCTGGTGTATAAATTGGGGGTTATATTGGGTTGCCAGAAAAGTCATGATGCGTTTTTGCATAGAAAAAGACGCATCATGATTCTTCCGACAGCTCAGTAATAAGCTAAACTCAAAAGATTGTTGTGAGAAATGACATACTGCAAGGGAGCTCTTGTTACTGCGTAATCATAGCCATTCTTAGGAACTTTATTTACTTATTTTTTTGGAGAGGTTTTTGCTATAGGGTGAGTGTGCTCGCAAGACAGACAGAGAGAGACAGAGACAGAAAGCGAGAAATCATCCCCCCAGGGGGGATGGCCACGCCACAATCCCTTCTCCTCCATTCTTCTCTCGGGATCTTGGGCACGGTGCGTGAGTTTTAAGCCACCGGGTCCGGGACGCGAACTGCAGTTGACTACATGGGAGTCCAGCGACACAGCCATTACGCTAACTGCTGGTCCCAGGAACTTTATTTTTAATCTGACTCCCCACACTTCCTGGATCATTTCTAATGTTCATTAAGGATGACCTTCAAGCCCCACCCTGGAAGGTTGCTGCCATCAGGTGCCTGTATCTGCTCATCAGAATGTCAAAGACCCACAGACCCAGACATCTGTTACTCTTGTGGTCTCATTAGGCTTCATAATTTGTGTGCAAGAAGGTTGTGGTTTGTGTGTAAGGAAGACATGATGTCCATGTGCAAGAGCACACTAGGTCCCACATGTAGCAAGTTTCTATAGATGATAGTTCTTGAATCTGAGAGTAAATTGCATGGTAAGACTTTATTTCCCGCTCTTTCTTGATGCTGGCAGTCGGACCAGGAGGAAGATGCAGAGCTCAAGGCACAGGTAGAAAACTTAAAATACAACCAAAGCAGAAACCAGTGTGTGCAAAGTCATTGTTCGTCTACAGTGTTCAGATCTTTCAGCATGCTCCGTAGCTGGTCACCATGTTCATTGGTGCAATGTGTAGGATGGCATTGTGTCCCCTTTACTGCCGTGTCCCTTACCTTTCCCTTTTCTTCTCCACTTTTTTCAGAATAGTCTGATTAAGCGAATAAAGGGTGAAAATGTGTATGTCAAACATAGTAATCTTATGTTAGAGGTTGGTATTGGTATATACCAGTGCATGTTTATGTGTGTTGTTTTCTTTGTAGTGGCATCCCTTGGGCTCGTACCATGATGCATGAACTGTGTGCTCACCTGTTCATAAGCGGGGATGACTCCCCAGCTTACGCTAATCCTTATTCTCTCCTAGATTTAGACCCCTTTTCCTGTGTGTGTGTGTGTGTGTTTATTTTAACTCTGGTTACATGTGAATTACACTAGTTACAGTTTATTTTAATTTTTTTTTTTTATGCTTGTGTGAACCAGATTCTTCTCTCTTTTTTGTGGAAATATCACATTTTCGCCAGAGTGTTTGTGGTAGTGTCATGAGCCTGGATCAAGATCCTATTTTATTTTCACTACTAATGATATTGACATTATTTATTTTTTAAATGAAAGCACTGAAAAGAAAATAAACGTAATTTATTGATTGTTGGATTCTTTATGTTATGTTCTGCATATAGGAGCTAGATAAAACTCAAGATGACTTGATGAAACATCAAACCAACATTAGTGAACTGAAAAGAACCTTTTTAGAAACCTCAACAGACACTGCCATAACAAATGAGTGGGAAAAGCGGCTTTCTACCTCCCCTGTGCGACTGGCTGCCCGCCCGGAGGGCGGTGCAAGAGCACACTAGGTCCCACATGTAGCAAGTTTCTATAGATGATAGTTCTTGAATCTGAGAGTAAATTGCATGGTAAGACTTTATTTCCCGCTCTTTCTTGATGCTGGCAGTCGGACCAGGAGGAAGATGCAGAGCTCAAGGCACAGGTAGAAAACTTAAAATACAACCAAAGCAGAAACCAGTGTGTGCAAAGTCATTGTTCGTCTACAGTGTTCAGATCTTTCAGCATGCTCCGTAGCTGGTCACCATGTTCATTGGTGCAATGTGTAGGATGGCATTGTGTCCCCTTTACTGCCGTGTCCCTTACCTTTCCCTTTTCTTCTCCACTTTTTTCAGAATAGTCTGATTAAGCGAATAAAGGGTGAAAATGTGTATGTCAAACATAGTAATCTTATGTTAGAGGTTGGTATTGGTATATACCAGTGCATGTTTATGTGTGTTGTTTTCTTTGTAGTGGCATCCCTTGGGCTCGTACCATGATGCATGAACTGTGTGCTCACCTGTTCATAAGCGGGGATGACTCCCCAGCTTACGCTAATCCTTATTCTCTCCTAGATTTAGACCCCTTTTCCTGTGTGTGTGTGTGTGTGTTTATTTTAACTCTGGTTACATGTGAATTACACTAGTTACAGTTTATTTTAATTTTTTTTTTTTTATGCTTGTGTGAACCAGATTCTTCTCTCTTTTTTGTGGAAATATCACATTTTCGCCAGAGTGTTTGTGGTAGTGTCATGAGCCTGGATCAAGATCCTATTTTATTTTCACTACTAATGATATTGACATTATTTATTTTTTAAATGAAAGCACTGAAAAGAAAATAAACGTAATTTATTGATTGTTGGATTCTTTATGTTATGTTCTGCATATAGGAGCTAGATAAAACTCAAGATGACTTGATGAAACATCAAACCAACATTAGTGAACTGAAAAGAACCTTTTTAGAAACCTCAACAGACACTGCCATAACAAATGAGTGGGAAAAGCGGCTTTCTACCTCCCCTGTGCGACTGGCTGCCCGCCAGGAGGACGCACCCATGATCGAGCCACTAGTACCTGAAGAGGTCAGTATCTGGGTTGTCAGTTAGAACTGTCTTATTCACTTGCCTCCCTTCTCCACAGGGTCTGGAAGTGGGGAAGGATTTGGAGAGCTTCTCAGCAGAGAATCTCATCTCTTGATCATGTATGACCTGAGCTGCAGAGCCCAGCACTCACAAGGAGAACTGCAGAGTACAGTGATTAGCTAGCTGAGGCGTGAGGAATGGTATCAGATGGTGCTACGAGTGACCACAGGGCTCAGGGAGACTAGCACAAATCAGCTGATTCTAATCAAACCTAGGGTTTACTGCTGGGAGAAAGTGAGATACTGGCTTGATAGATTGGCAATTTTTCTGAACATAGTTTCTTCTTTTATGCTTTGAGAAATGCTCTGAAAACTCATGCAGGTCTCAATGGCAAGATGAGGCCTATTGATTAAATGGTGCTGTAGGGACCAGCAGATGACATATTGGCCACGTTGCTGGACTTCCCATGTGGTTGGCCGTGGTTTGAGTCCTAGAACCAGTGACTTGAAAATTGTGCCGGGCACTTGTACGTGTATGCCCAAGATCCTGGAAGGAGAAGAAATTGTGGCATGGCCATATCCCCTGGGGGGTGATTTCTCACTTTTCCTCTTATTGTCTCTATCTCTTTCTAGTAGATGCATGTGCCCTAATTCAAAAATGTCTTTTAAAAAATGATGATCGTAAGTTGATCGCCCTTTAGGACATGGTTTACTCTGAAATATAGCAGGCTTTTATTAATATTAACATAATGAGTGTTGTGTTAGATTTGTATTTATAACTGGTATTTTAACTGACTTATAATCCATATTTGATTTTTATGGGGAAAATAGGGACCAGAAATTTCTTCTTCAGTATGATTCTTCCAAAATATACGAAAATTCTCTTTAAATATACATTGTGGGGGTTCAGCTGGTTTTACTTCAGGGTCCCATTATAGGGGACCCATAAATTGGTACAGTGTTAATTTGACTATCTCCTGTCAGATATCTTCTTGCTTTATCTCTTTCGAAGGAAGTTGTTTTTGAAAACTGCATATTTTTAGCATTGTATTTGTCCAGGAAGCTGAGAATGAATAAAAACTAAACCTTAGGCCTGTATGGAACTAAAGTCTTTTGAATCATGATCTCCATACAGTGCTCAAGTCCTTGTAGTGAAAGTAAGAATCAAATTACACTTATTGTTGGTCATTTTCTAAACCTTTGAAAGTTGTTTTATCAAAGGTGACCAAGGGCTGGCCCTGTAGTGCAACAGTTAAGCTCTGTGAATAGGAAGCCAGATCCCACATGGCTGACTACAATTCAAACCCCAGCCCCTATGACTTGATAAACATACTGGACATACATGCATAAGTGCCACTAAAAAAAAAACAAATAATGAAAAAGATCTCACTATCGCTATACTAGGTTCATGAAAATGCTAATCACTCTAAAAAGAAAAGAGGTATATATCCATTTGAATTACTCTGAAAGGTCTTTTCATGCAAAATAAATGAAAAGTACCATTACCAAAGTAATCCTGTGACACGGAACACATGTTCAACTCTCCAGTTTAGTTTCAGGAGAAACATTTTTACTTCAGATTGAGGAGATACAGATTCTATTTCAGATTGATTTGTGTATAATACTCCCAGCATTATTAAGAATACCACCAATCAGTTAATGCTCTCATAAATGTTACTGTAATTGGTCAACTTTGGCTTATCCTGTTTTTACTTTCTCTTTTGGAAATAATGTACTGACTCTAAAACTGTGAGATACTGGATTAAATTACAAAAACAAAATAAATAGCCACCAAAAATAAAACAAACTGAGGCCAGCAGATAGCGTGGTGGTTGAGGTGGCTGGATTCCCAAGTGACAGACCGTGGTTCGAGTCCCAGACCCAGTGGCATGAAACTCATGCTAGGAGCTTGAACATGCGTGCCCAAAATCCTGAGTGAGAAGTAAAGGAGAGGAGATTGCAGCATGGCCATTTCCCCTGGAGGATAATTTTTTATTTTCCCTCTCTCTGTCTCTCTCCTCTCCAGTGAGCACACACCATACAAAATCTAAAATAAATAAATAAAACAAAAAATCCCAAACCTCTCTTATGCTGCTATTTAAGAAAATGACAGAAGGTAGTCACTTTGTATGTAATGTCTTAGAGCAGTTGAAAGGTGGTGATTATAAACAAGGGACTTTCAAAGTCCAGGCCATTAGACGAATAAAACAACTATTTTTTTACTCCTGATTAGATCTTAAATGTTGAAGAATCACATCCAGGGGCAGGCAGGTGGCATGGTGGTTAAAGGCACTGGACTCCCACATGATTGACTGTGGTTTGAGTCCTGGACGTCGTAGCTTGCTTTCTCACACTCTT